ATAGGGAAGATGGTTGGTATATACCACCAGCTTGGGAACCTATTATACAGGAGATAACATCCCAACCCCGAGCACACACTGCAAGACCAGATAATATTAATTCTTTTTGTTTGCATAATTTAACATAAGAAGGAGATAGAAAGCCTCTCTTGAGTTTGTTTCGCCGGTTCTTCTCAGAAAGGTCTCCCAACTTTGGAACCGGTGGTAGTTTACGGTAGTTAGGGTCAAATAAATAAACTCAAAATTACAAAAAATAATTTTAAATAAAATACTTTATTAAGTAAATTAAATAATAAATTCATACATAGACAATAAAACTTTATAAGTCGAACAATGAAATAACCGAATGCTCAATAAAAGTCTTTCGAAGGTAGCTCGACAAATTAAATAAAAGTTTAATTCTGACGACGTAGCCTGTAAAGGCTGCGAAACGTCAATAAATAAATAAAGTTTCGTGCATTAACCCGTAAAAACTAGTTTTATTTAGTAAATTTAATTTTTATTTATTAGGTTAAGGAAGCAATGCATTTCCATGGCATGTTTACGATAAGTTTACCTCCAGATAGGATCACACCCTTTTGATTGATTCCACACATTTTCCACAAAATTGCGCCTTTTTTTACTAAATTAATTCATAAATTAAAACTTCTAACATTGTAAATGTGAAAGTTTGTATGCTTGTTACTCGATCACGCAAAAACGGCTGAATGGATTTGGATGAAATTTTACACACAGACCAATTATAACCTGGAAAAAGACATAGGATACTCTTAATCCTAAAAAGTGTTAGGTTCCTGAGTGATTTTCATAAGACTATAGTAACTTTAACACGGGTAAAGACGTGTCTGTCTGTCTGTTACATCTTCACACCTAAACTACTATCTATTTTGTGCTTAAACCGCTGACCGATTAGATGAAATTGCTATAGATATATATTGAGTCTCGGGACAGGACATAAGATAGTTTTTATCCCAGGAATCATTCTTTAAGGGGGTGGAAGGTTGTATGGGTTATAGTAGTTCAATTAATTTACCATACAATCTTCCACTTCCTCTACCTCCCTAGTATGAGCACTGCGATATGATATATAACGCGCTTTTATCACGCTCAATTGTCAAAATATGGACTTTGGCAGTTAGACGTAATAAAATGTAAATTGTTGTGCTCATGCTGCGGGGACTGATCTTGCTAGAACATTTGTCACATATCTCAAGTCGATGGGAGGCGGGAGAGAGTGAGATTTTAAACCTTGTTGAATGTAGTAATAATCAATAACATAAGTGCTTTGTTAACTGAATTTAAGTACAGTAATATCATTTAAAGTATAAGCAACAATGTTTATAGTAATGTAGGTATGTACGTGTTTTACAATCTACGACTAGCTTAACTTAATTAGTTAATGCACAAACACATTAAAGTTTTATATAATGACATCATTAGCAAGTACATTAAAAGCATTAACAGTGAATACAATTGAATTAACAATATCACCCTTATGAGTAAGCATAAAACCATCGATATTTCAACCACGGTGGTACTACGTGTTCCAGAAAGTACTCTTGTTTCTGCCAATTAGCATAGTTTCTTGTGAAATCACTTAGAATTCTGACGTCCAAATGTAATTAACCAATCGTTAACTATTTCATCACGAAAAACAAAATACGGAAGGTTATGGTCTCGGTTGTGAAGACACGGTTCGACCTCTGTGGTCTGTACAGAAACGATAATGATCAACAAAACTCATTTATACTCGTGTACTTATACCGTTTAAACTGATGGAACAGGATATTTTTAGATATTATGAATAAATGAAACTGGATGGAATTTTACCAAAACAACAGTAGGGACTTGCCTATTGTTTACATTATACTAGATCAAAAAAATTACTCCCAATTTTTTAATATTCAAATGTATGTGGAGTATGGAGACTCCAAGATATTTGAAATAGCAAGATAATCTAATGTGTTGATATGTATAAATGTGACATGTATAATTTCACGCTTTTCCATGTTTTCAACGGGGAGTAAACAAATAAAAATGGTTTATTTCGTTAACCTTATTTTACAATGTTATTCTGTGGCCAGAACTACCCTGGAAGCATGTAGTAATGCTTGTGTTGGCCGGTTCTGCTCCTCCCTAGATAGATAAATTAAAATATCCTCGTCTTCTTTAGGCAGGGTTCACCCACTGTCGGTTATAGGCCTCTTCTTTCATATTTATGGTCTCTCTATGCGACCTGATTCCTCGCTACGTGCACGCAGGATGCTGTGGAGCCCATTTTGGTGAATGTCTTTTGTATAGTCAGTCCAGCGCTTAGGTTAGTCTTCCATATTTTTCGGCGGAGCTCGATGGCGCAGGTGGCTAGCTCGTTCGGATACGATCGTTGAAATTAAGCAACGTTTGGCAATGGTCGGTCATTGGATGGGTGAACAAAAATTTAATATCTCGAGCTCCTCCGTGCTTCGGAAGGCACGTTAAACCGTTGGTCCCGGCTGCATCTGCAGTCGTTAGCACCCGCCTATACGCACTGAGCCCGCGTGGTGCTATTCCATCCATAGGGAAGGCCTGTGCCCCAGCAGTGGGGGCATTAATAGGCTGATGATGATGATGATTTTTCGGCCAGTGCTTTATAACCGTAAATTGTAGAAAACCTTTATGGATTATGGCGGAATGAGACTTGCGCTGTAGCAGGAGGATAATACGACAATTTTAATTAATATTTTTACGAGTTGTGGCGATGTGAATCACGAAGCACATCGCTGTGATTATAAAATAATTATGTACCTAGTTGTAAAAGATATATTGTTAAAGTTGATTATAAGTAAATGAAATTCGTAGTTGCTGTATCTATGCATTACTATTACATAATGTATATCAGACAAAGATATAATAATTATGTGTTTTACCAAAGTTACAATAATTTCGAAAAAAATAAAGAGAATTTAATTATTAATGTGGCATCAGGTTTGGTAACAATACTTCTAAAATAAGTAAGAAAAGCATCTTTTATTACTAAGAAGTATTAAGGTAATAACGCTCTATTGTTTACTAAAGATAAGAGCTACAATGTATACAAAAATACCACACAAATATTACTTACCATAGCGTCAATATCGCCATTCTTTCAACATAGAAAGATAAGAAACAAATTGAAACAATACAGCGATGGTACTTCAATGGGAGTGTATGAAAATAATGCTTTTTTCAAGCGACTACGTGATGGCGGCGTGTTTGATCGGTAGGTAGCTGTTAGAATACATATCATAAAACTTAGCTAATAAAAAGTCGTAGGAACACGGAATTTTGAATGTTTTTAAAACATTAGCAAATAGGGAAGATGCAATATTTTTATTTTTGTTTTCATTAAAAGAATTCCATGTAGAATAAACCACAGATATATTAAAAAATTCAAACATTGTGATTTATCGGAAAAAATGCGGTTTTAAATTGACAATTTAAATTTTCGCGCGAAAACGAACCTATGGTTGCGATGGTTCACTCCTGTCTGTCACTGGTCGTAATTGTTCGTTGCGGGCTTTAAATTTTCATACTTTTGCATATTTTTTGACTTTCGAAATATTTTTTTGAAAAATTTAAAATGGACTATCCATCAACATCATGTGATCATAACAATACCACTAATATTCCGAAAAAAAGCCGTGTTGACTCATGTTTTGTGCCAATCTACTTCAACAAAGTTCCCAAATAAATTGTTTTTGACTGGAACTTCTGACTCAAAACTGAAAAAAAGTGGTTTCAAGCTACGAAGAGAAATGACAATTATTCTCCAAAGACCATTATTCGATGCTGAGAAGATCACTTTGACGTAAGTTGGCGAATATACTTGTTATATTCTTAATTAATCTGCTTGTACGTAAAAACGCATTAGTAACCTACCTAATACTTACAAAACCTGTCTATAACATATTTTTAATTTTACAGTTGGAGAATGACGTCGAAAATTAGATAAAGTTTAAAATGTGTGGCACAATCTTCACATTGGCAGGACTGAACAGTGTGAGTCACAATATCCACGTGTAGGTAGTGCAGATATTTTGAAATAAGTTCAAACCTAACTATCGGAAGCCCAACCTACAGAGCAAATACTCCTTGCTGAGTAAGATTGAATTATGTGTTATATTAATACTTGATTTTAAAACGACTTGATCTGGCTTCGCCGTCACCTCCGAGTTTAGTTTAAGCTCTTCCTAGATTTTGGGCTACCCAAAATCAAAAAATTTCAAGTACCTAAGTTTACATCCCGGGAAACTTCTTTAGCAACAACCATAAACAAGGAAGCCAGCACTAAAGTGCAGGCAGCAATTTTGAATACAATCATTGGTGCCAATTCTGGCGTGATTCTCTAAACTTAACACTAAATTTAACATCAGTTTCTCATTTTCATTCTGTATAGAGAATGACAAGGATATACTGGTGCCAATTCTGGCGTGATTTTCTAAACTTAAATCTTAATTTAACATCAGTCCCTCCTTTTCATTCTGTATTGAGAATAACAAGGATATACTGCTGTCAAATTTAAGTTTAGGTTTAGAGAATCATGCTAGAATCGACACCACTGCTGTCAAATTTAAGTTTAGGTTTAGAGAATCATGCTAGAATCGACACCAATATCTTTTACTGCTCAATTTTATTTAACTGTGGTTTTGCTTGAGAAGTTTATTCTTTTTTTTCTGTGACGTTCTCCGTTTTACACAGAAATTTCGCCAATGTCCAGTAGTGAGAGAAAGACTACCGAGCAGTCTTTCTCATGTCTCTCTCACTAAACTTACTATCCTAACTATAGTAATAGGTAGGTACTTTTGTAGGTCAGCAGCGACATCAAAAATATATAACTTTTTTACCATTAAAGAAAAACTTGATTAACATTTCGTTTACATCGCTTACATTGTTCTGTAATCAGAGACTTGTACCTATCAAATTGGAGGTTTCTCACTTCCGCCAGACAAATAGTTCATTAAATTAGTTATAAAGGTACTTACCATAGCCTATTTCATGTCGGACTGTGTCCGCGTCGGCCTTTACAATCACTGGAGTTTCTTCGAAAGTTTTATCATCTGTGCCTTCGTTACTTTTTTTTGCGACCTGCAATTGTTCGTCTTCAAAGTATTCATCGAAATTGTTTTTATTGAAAAAGTCAAAGTCAACCGCCGCTCTCTTCATCGTGGGTGTACTGCTCGTCGCTATATCAACTTCGAATTGCAACATTCTAGCTGGTGACATGACATCCGCCAAGGGAGATGGCTTTACAAATATATCATTCCTCTTAGCGAGCGATAACTGTAGGAAATTCGGCCGCGGACAAGGTTTTACCGATTCCCCGGTAACATTTGAATTTTCCGCCAAAATCGATATCTCGCGTGGACTGTCTAAAATTTCAGGAGTAGGCGCTGGCGTGTTAATAATATCAGCTCCAACATTCGTCGATATGTCAACGGAAGCGTTTCTCTCCCCGATTGTTACATTTTCGCCTATCGCTGAAATGCTATCGAGACTAATCCGAAATGTATCCTCAGGTAGTTCGAAGTTATCAGAAATGTACAGCTGATTGGAACTTGTTGATGTTCGGATTGACATGCGCTCTGTACTTTTACTTTCAACTATAGGCGACTCCATTTTATTTATGCTACCTGCTACTTATTATTTTTAATCATGTAAATAAAATGAGCGAAATTGATGATGGCAGCAATTTGTTTATTGTGTATGTAAATTAAGCATCGGTCTCAATTGACGACCTTGAATTTTATCTTGCTAATCGATAACCGCAAGAAGTTCACATCACTTCTACTACGCACACATGCGCAATGCGCCAATCGTCTGTGTGTATCCGTGAGCTGTCAAACTTGTTTCGCGGTTTCTTTTTTCTTTCTTAGAAAATAATCTAATAAGATTTTTTGGAAATGTTTTCTTAGCGCACTGTTACAATATAATGTTTAATTTTCACTTAGTTTGTCAAGTCCAGCACATAGCGGTATAGTTACTACGTAGGTGGGAGCTATAAATAGCTTTACTATATTCACATGCACACAAAATTCGTCCACAACGATGTTAGTTCGTCTTCACTATCACGGGAAATGGTTTCTTGTTATCGCTACATTCGATAAGTTCACAATTAAAGTAACACTATGTAGGTTCTAAACGTCTTTTGAGTGTAATTTAGTTATTATTTGCCAGTTAATTCACGAGATACGGCGCGATGGCGCGTAGTCGCACACAACTGCATGAGGTATTAATGTCAACAAACAATGTTCCGGCCCGTTCTTGCAAAATGCGCGCGAACAGTGAAATTCTAGAGCTTGGTCAGCGAATTTCTACTCTTACAAACCGGACAATTTGCACTAATGATATCTCACATTAGCTTGTACGATAATCAGGAAAATATTGTGTGGTTAATATGGGTGATATTTGTGTGCACGTCCTTGACGTGTGCTTTTGTTATCTACAAACAAGTTTCGTCATGGAAGCAGGAAATTCTACGCGTTTGCGTTTCGTTTCGTCGAATCTTGTCATTATTGGGAATCAAGTGACATCGGAAAAACAAAAAATAAAATATTTTTCAATACCTTAACAGACTATGACTATTAGACTGCTTGCAATTAAGGCCCTGAAAGTCACGTTTCCTTTGCTAGTTATTAGTATTTGGTAAGTCCATGATAAAATATGGACATATATAACTCCAAAAAACACCTTTAGTGTAGAAAGAAGGATCGCTTCTTTTGCTTCAATCTGACCTAGTTTGATGTAACACTCTCTATGATTTATTTTCATACTATTATTTCAAAAAGTTTGAGGTTTTAAAATCAAAACAAGCAAGGCGGGTTTTGTTGAATAATATATTTTCAGTTTAACAAAATAACAATTATTGTATGACACAACTAAATACAAGATTAGTCAAACTTCTTTTTCTTGCCGCCTCCGCCATCAATTTTCCCGCCTTTTCTTTTGCCGCCCTTTTTGCCATTCGCCATTTTGTTGAAACCATCATTTTGTTTATTGCTAAACTTGCCACCATTTTGTTTATTCCTAAACTTGCCACCATTTTGTTTTCTATTAAATTTGCCGGGTTTTTTGTTTCCGTGAATCTTCTTGTTGTAGCCTTGTATCCACCTGTCTCGTTTTTCTTCCCACGCTAGTTGTTTTTTACTCGAGTTGTCTGCGTTTGAGACAGCTTGACTTGACCCTTGTTTTGCGTTCGAAGCAGTGTCTTCTAGGAGTGTTGAAAACTCTTCTGCTGAGGCGAATAGTGAACCGAGATTGTCTTTGCCTGTGGAAAGAGAAAGAATTTAGATGACGAAATAATAAGCCTAAGTTTTCTAAACCTATGGTAAGAGAAATGATTGACCGCGTTGTTTTATCGGAAAATTTGACTGTAGTTAATGCAACATCAAATACATAGTAAATGTGTCAAATTTTGACAAAATGGTTTTAGTCAAATTTAACTTTTGAGGAAACAACGCGTCCTTAGATGACGCCGTAAGTTCCTGTCAATTTTGCATAGTTTCCTAATTAATAAGTCACTACTACTACAATATGTTACGATTGTTGGAAAAATAAATTTACTTACTAAGAGGTTCGAAATGATAGTTAAGAAATTTTGACAAAGACTAAACATTGTGCCCTTTACGAATTAATTATTAAGACATGTTAAGAATGTTCACATAAGCCATATCTGCAGTCGTTAACACCCCCTAATCGGCTCGTGTAAGCGGTTATGGCCTATTCTTCATATAGTACCAGTAGTCAGTACATTAATTGATTATGGTGCAGCATTTATAATAGGAGAATAGAGTAAATACCAGCCTACAGTTTAGTCTTAAACCTCACCAAGGAGGAGGGGCGGTTCAAAAACGCCAAAAAAAACCTCACATGATTAATGGACGGCCCCTTAGATAAATAAATGAGAGCGAAAATATTAGTTTCGGTGAAAATAAAATAAAAGCACACAACACCATCACCGACACTTCCGCATCTGTTGATATTATAAATGTGAAAATTTGTATAACTGATGTCATTGCAGAAAGGAATCGAAAATTCCGACGCAAGATATTCTGTCTCTCTCGCACGTTAGTTGGGATAGCATGTGCGAGAAGGACAGATTGTCTTACGTTATTTGCGATTCCTTTCTACAATGAAACGCGTTATATGTAACTAAATTACGCAAAAACGGGCTAAACGGATTTGAATTCAGTGTTGTGCCTAAATTGAGACATGGAATACTTATTATCTCGGAATCATGTGAGGTTCCTGTGGGATTCTCAATAAACTATAATTTTAATAATTTGTAAGTGAATGATAGTGAGGTGTCGAAATTCTTTAATACCTTTCAGTTTGAAGCCCAAGTCTTTCTTCTTTTTCTTGCCGAGAGCATCTATGCCATCGTCTTCATCATCGCTGTCTTGCAACAGTAGTTCTGTGAATTAATAAAATATATGAGTCCCTTACTTTTCTTCTACTATAATAATTATTATAATTTATTACACCAGTTCTATATTAGAGTCTGTGTGGAAAAAGAATGGGCGTGGAGAAAAACGGAACTAACATTAAGATTTTTATTTGGCAATCAAACCCAGCAATCTGTAAAACGTCAAAGTTTTGTATTGATACGGATTTGTTTGTTGTTGTGATTTCTTGCGGTTTTTTTTATGTAATCATGTCTAAAAGTGGTAAAACCTTACAAATACGGTAGAAAATCACTACAGCGCCATCCAATCTAAATATTATTCTCTTTCTGCACAGACTCTAGTCACATATTTTATTATCAGTTACCGTTATATTTGAAATTAATGATTCTTAAAACTTAATTTTGACAACAGAATCTTTCTGTCTCGCTGCATAGGTAATGAAAAGGAGAGACTGATATTGATTTAGTTTTATATTTTGATAACTATGCTAGAATCAAATAGATCCGACTCGAAGGACCAAATTATTATAGTAGAGGAGCCCAACCGGGGATTTTTGGATTTACTCGAGCGCGGCAAATTAATATAAGGGTTGCCTCCCTTATGTTAATCTGCCACGCTCGAGTTAAACTCAAAATCTCCGCTTGGGCTTCCCTACAATTAGCGCATGACGTCGCGTCTTGGTAGAATTGTTACTTAGAAATGACGTCACGAGCACGAGATTTTTTGGTTGATTGACAAAAGAGAAATTACATGTTCATAATTTTTTGGTAACCTTACTGACGGACTCAATAGAATTTCCTTTACTTTACCCCGTCATCATCCCTATTATTTGTTTAATGTTTGAGACTGTCTGCTAACTTTGGTGTGGTTTGTGATTCTTCGTTTGTAAGCGACTAATTTCAACTTTATTTACTGAGTAATAAATAAACTACAGCTCGACGGCGGCGGCAAGCGGTTAGCGCGTTCGGCTGCGATCGTTGAAGGTAAGCAACTTTTGCAGTGGTCGGTCATTGGATGGGTGACCAAAAATCTTCTATCTCGAACTCCTCCGTGCTTCGGAAGGCACGTTAAGCCATTGGTCCCGGCTGCATTTGCAGTCGTCAGCACCCATCAGTCCGCACTGGGCCCGCGAGGTGGGTCATGTCATGGCCGAATCTCCCTATTCCATCCACAGCAAAGGCCTGTGCCCCAGCAGTGGGGACATTAATAGGCTGATGATGAGAAACTACATAAATTTTATTTGTAAATTACCACCATTTCTTTTTATTTAAAATACACACGTGCTGCTGATCATAATTGCTTTGTAATAACTCTTGATTTAGCGAATTATTATATTGAATATTAAACAAATCTAATGAAGGGCTAAACTAATATATGTACTTCCATCAAATGGATCGAAACAATATTATTATCTGACTCGTATAATTACCTTCTTCATCACCAGAGAAAGCCGGTTCATCTTCATCACCAGACATGATCAATTCTCCATCATCTGTCGTGTAATAATCAAGATTTTATTAAATATTTTAAACAAACTACATCTTTTCTTCAAGATTCCTTGGCAGTAAAATTTAAATTGTATAACTCAAGCACAGCTTCAATACAAATTTAATCTGTATTAGACTTGAATATTGTGATTGACACAAGGTTATGCCATAATTTTGATTAAACAACGGTGTCGATTCGGGCATGAATAGTGTATGCAAAGAACACAGAAAAGGGAAAGAAGGACCTTGTGGGCGGGGCTAGCGCGCCACAGTTGTGTGAGCAAATGCTCACAACTTGACCAAAACTTGGTTCTGATTGCGTCGTTGCTCTCGGGATGTGAGCGCTGATTGGTTCGATTGTTTAATGTCGCATCGTTTAATTGGCCATTTTCTATTAGGTGGAAGTGTAGTAGGGGCGAGCCGGCGACATCGGTTCCCGTACAAACGGTCTATTTGGTTCTGCGAGTGTATCCACAAGGATTTGTATAAATAATGACAACATTTTCGATACAGAATGTAAAGGAGACTGATTTCACAGATTCTGATACACTGATTTTACAGAATGTAAAGGAAACGGGTTGGGGTCCCGCCTGCTGCCTGGTCCGCGTGGTATTATTTCTAGTTATATTTTCTTTAGATTTGAACATCGAGCAGTTACATGCTTTAAAAATAAAAATTATAAGGAGACTGATGATTTTCTGGCAGTAAGGTAATGGATAACCTGTCGTCAAAGGTTTATTATTATTTAGGGGCCATTCATAAAATACGTAACACGTTAAAAGGGAGGGAGGGGGTCGACGAAGTGTGACATCGTGTGACAAGGGATGGGAGGGGTCCTAAGTTTCGTGACGTCACATTACAAAATCTACTTTTGAACTATTATCAAAAATCTTAAAAATATGTAGATCTCTATCTGTATGGCGTTTCATTTCTTTTTTCTGGCTAATTTTCGGAACTGCTGTATTAATAATAATAATTTCTAAATACAAAATATATGACGTTACATTAAAAAAATCAAGTAATTAGTGTGATATACTTTATGTGTGATACCTGTGCCGTCAGCACAATATTGATCGCACGTAACATTCGTGATAAAAGAGTTAGTAACGTGCTGTAATGAGAAAAATCATTAGTTCGTGTTTCGTGACTTTCTGCAGTCAACATATCTCCTCCACTATTTTTTTTGTCTATAGATACATATACTAAAAATACAGGTATATATATACATATATACCTGTATTTTTAGTTGTAAAAAGGCCAGTTAGTAATCTCTTATCTATTAGACAAGTCCGTCCGTCCGTCTGTCTGTGGTGCTGTTTCAGCGGCAAAACCGTAAGAGATAGATAAAGAGAATATTTAAGTTAAGAATAGTCTGATAAGACTACAAACCGGATTTGAGTAACGTAGCACTTCCGGTTTTCGAGAAATCACGAATTTCAAACGAAACCACACAAAATCTCCGAAGTTCTCAATTAATTAAATACATTTTTTTTAAATCAGGTTTTGGTGAACATTTGGTTCACTGGTTTGCTAGTTATACTCTAATACATTAACCAGTGGTGTTATTATTTAACTACGAAGCCTGCGGGCTTCGTAGGCTTATTGCGACAATCCCTTATGTTATAGGACAATTTTGAATTTTGATTCACCTAAGGGGGCGTCCATAAGTTACGTGAGTTTTTTTGTATTTTCTGTCCCTCCCTCCCCCCCTGGTAAGATGTCGTGAGATTTTATTCAATCCCCTCCCCCATCCCCTAATCTCACGTGAGATTTTTCAAAATGTGGGTTTATGGGGTAAAAGAAAAAAAAATGCTTCGTGCTTTTATTTACGACTAGTTGAGACTAGTTATCAATATTGCTGAGAGTCATTTCTTTCGAACGAATTAGTGAATGATCTTAATCGTTACGATTACGCTTAAAATGAAATCTTAAGCATGTACAATCTGGATTAATTGGACCAAAATAGACTGTTTTTTTCGGTTGCGGTTTCGATTGACGTGAGTTGAAATTCAAATTCAGCTGGCCCAAAACCTCCGGGCTGTAAAAACCATATGCGTAATTATACCGTTTTGTTCGCCAGCTCCTAATTTTTGGTATCGCAAACGTCTATAGACTATGGTGGCCTATTACTATCAGGCGGGCTATATGCTTATTTGCATTCGTATTAACATTACAAAAAAGTTTCTTTATAATCACCTTCATCACCACTAGCTCCATCATCGATTTCATCCTCCTCATCTTCATCATCATCATCATCGTCCAGCTGGTCCAGCTGATCATCATCTTCCCCGCCCCTCTTCTTCTTGGCCACGTTCTTCTGTTTGGTGGCTTCCATGTCGGCGAGGAAGTCCAATTCTTCGTCAGAATCAGCTGTTAGGATAGAAAACACTATATTGCATACTATGATGTTTTATAAAATTATTGATACGTCATACAAGTTTCTAGTTTGGCAATACGAAAGTCAGGTAATTGCCCGACTTGCATTCAGTCGGGCACGCTCTCTCGCCGCGGCTACTCTTCGCAACAATAATGTAAATATTTAAGTTTTATTCTAGACAAAAATCCCATGTGTGTTTTAGATAGTACACAAATTACAAGGGAACTATTAGAGACAAGAAAAACATGTCATTTCATTCGTAACTACAGTTCTAACGAAATTAATGAAAAAATATTCAGTAATTACTTATTTTATTATTATTTTGACAGTTGCCGACACCGTTGACACGTGGCCAAAGAGCGAGATGGAATCTGTACCCTAAGCACGAAGCAATATCGAATTCGAATAGTTTGCGAGTGCAAAATGTCACGTTAAAATTTTGTATGAAAACTTGAACAGCAGCGCCGCAACGGACGTAACGAGAACTAAAAATCAATACTCTTTTGATGTACAAAATGGATCGAATTCAACTATTCGAATTCGATACTGGTTCGTGCTAAGGATATTAACATTTAATTGACGATGACGATTCTTGTGCCACAGCTAGTTTTTGAAATGAAACTTCTTTAGGCACCCTTGACTTGGGAGGTAAACTGGCGAATGTGTTACGGTTACGCGTTACGATTAGTGTCATCGGTAAACAATGAACAATACCCGTCACAAAATACATGAATCTAGTGCTAACTTAAACGTTTTAATTAATTACACGACGTAATTTATCAATAATCAATAACAATTTAGTTTTTTACTATTAATTCTACGCCATTGAAATTTCCGTATGTTAATTTCTTTCTATCAATAAATCTTCAGGTTGAGTTTATGATTTTCAGAGCATTGAAGCTAAAGAAGTTTCACTTCAGTCGTGTGGTCATAAGCACTCGCTTTTTTTTATATAATAACTAGCTGACCCAGCGTACTTCGTACCGCCATAAAAATAGGGTTTGATGGTAGAAGGGTGAAAATTTAGGGTGGACCTATGTATTTTTAAATGCCAAACAAAAAGAAATGTTAGGGGTGGACAACCCCTAACACTTAGGGGTATGAAAAATAGATAGTAGCCGATTCTCAGACCTACTGAATATGCATAAAAAAATTATAAAAATCGGTCAAGCCGTTTCGGAGGAGTATGGTAACTAACATTGTGACACGAGAATTTTATATATAAGACGAACTTCGTACCGCCACAAAAAAATAGGGGTTGGTGGTAGAAGGGTGAAAATTTAGGGGTGAATTACCCTTAACATTTAGGGGGATGAAAAATAGATTACATCCGATTCTCAGACCTACTGAATATGCACACAAAATTTCACGAAAATCGGTCGAGCCGTTTCGGAGGAGTTTAACCACAAACACCGCGACACGAGAATTTTATATATTAGATTATACTTTTGCGAAGAGCCTCCATAACAAATAATGGTGAATGCCAGTTACCTTGAGCCTTGGACCCTGTGACGGTGTCCAGATACTGTTCGAAGTCCTCGCTGTTCACAGAGTCTGCGTCACTGTCTTCATCATCAGACCCTTGGGTTTCACGGCGTTTCCGAAGGAAACTGTACGACAAATAAATTTATATTTCTTAGATTCACACAATTATCATGAATAAATTAATATTTCTATCCCAAAATAAGCACTGTACTGTAAGGCTTGTGTTATGTGGTTCTTTACCTTTTAATGAAAATGGAATGGACCACGAAATGTATATACTAAAGAATATAATTTTTATATGCAAATTAGTGATAAGAATATATTGTTTTAAACTTTTATGAATTATAGCTATTAACGGGATTGTTACCATGTGTGTGTCGGGAACAGGTGCGAGTGAATAGTGAGAATGTGATCAATAGCCCAAAGGTATTGAGCCACTTTAGACCCATTTCTATCTTGCCGTTCCTCTCTAAAGTTCTGGAAGCAGCGGCACAAAAACAATTTTCTAAATTTATACTAGACAACTCATTGCTTTCTCAATACCAATCTGGTTTTCGCCCAGGACACAGTACGTCTACTGCCCTTCTTAAAGTCACTGAGGATGTCAGAGATGGTATGGAGCTTGGCAAGTTGACAGTGCTCGTGCTGATTGATTTTTCCAATGCTTTCAACACTGTCGACCACGATATTCTCCTTGCCTTTCTGAGACGCCTTAGTGTATCTCCATCTACCTTAAAATGGTTTTCCTCATACTTAAATGACCGCCAACAAGCGGTTCGTGTTGACGAATCGCAGTCTGATTGGTGCAGCTTAGCGGCTGGCGTCCCTCAGGGCAGCATCCTATCGCCACTTCTTTTTTCCGTCTTCATAAATTTCATTACCACCTTTCTTCGCTGTTCGTTTCATTTGTATGCCGACGATTTGCAGTTATACCGCCGGTGTTGTTCCGATGAGATTGACTCTACAATATCTCTCCTCAATGAGGATCTTGAAATACTCTACCAGTGGTCAGAGCGCTTTGGTGTCGTTGACAACCCGACTAAGTGCCAGGCTATTATTATTGGTGGATCTCGCCAAATATGTAAGGTTGATATTGACGCTGTAAGCCCAATTGTTTATAATGGCATGCAAATTCCTTTTTCTCCTAGTGTTAAGAATCTTGGTTTGCACATTGACAGTACCTTTGGCTGGTCTACTCACATTAACGAGACATGTCGGCGGGTCACAAATATGCTCCGTGCCCTCTATAAATATAAAATTTTTCTCCCTGTTCACACAAAAATCTCTTTGATCCAGGCTCTTGTCCTACCATCCATAGATTATGCTGATGTGTGCTATCCTGACTTAAATATAGATTTTCTTGGTAAATTGGAGCGGTCTTTTAACAGCTGTATTCGCTTCATTTTCAGTCTACGGAAATATGATCATATCACTTCATTTCGCCGTGAACTCAATTGGCCGCCTCTTTCAAACCGTCGTGATCTAAGAATTCTCACAACTCTTTTCTCAATTCTTTTTGACCCTCATGCTCCGTCTTACCTGAAGTCCAAATTTCACCTTTTGAGTTCCACTCACTCTCGTCCTCTTCGTTCATCTGAAAACCTTCTTTTGTCCATTCCTTCCCACTGCTCCAGCTTCGTGTCAAAATCATTTTGTCTCCAAGCTATTCGTCTCTGGAACGGTCTTCCGGAGAGCGTGAGAAGAGCACCCAGTAAACCTGCTTTCAAGGTCCTTGTACGTCAGCATTTCGCTAAGAAGTCATAACAATTTCCGTATTATGAACCAACTTCTGGTCAGTCCGACTATTATTAATATTATTTGTAATAGTTATTTTCTGATTTATTATAGTATTCTTAAGTAAGTATAGTAGTATTTATTATTGTATATGTGTAGGTATTTATCGTATATATAAATATATAAACATGTATTTATCGTATTATAAATATATAAATATGTTATATATATGTAGTTATTTAGGTATATTTATAGATGTTAATTATTATATTAACATGTAGTTTTATGAATTTAATTTTGTTATTATTTCTAATGCTTTAATTTACTTGACCGCATAATGTCTCTGCTTAGCCCGATGGTTGACTGGTAGAGAATGCCATGTGGCATTAAGTCCGCCATTTGTAACAAAACAATAAAGAGTAAATAAATAAATAAAACAAATAAATGGTAGGGGTATCGAGCGCAGTAAAAGACGACGTCAGAGGGTAGACCGATATGTCTGCCAATAAGATCTACCCGCAATTACTTCAGTTACTCCGTGATCATGGCGCTTGCAACAGTGCCGAAATATCGGAGACTCATAAAAAACAAGGTACATGCTTAGATTAAAACAAAAAGGGTAGATACGGCACTAGCCTCACAAAAGTGATCCGCATGAATTGTGGTCCACGACCCTAATCGCTTTAGTCACAACTTGACATGCAAACGACGTACATGTGAACGCCAAAAAGAAATATTGCTAATATTTTGTGTTTATATGATAAAACAATGCCTTAGTGTATTTTTTAAAAGTGCTCAAATTGCTCAGGAACTAAAAATAAAACCCACGGCATCACTTTTCATTCGTAAGTACTATAAAATATTTGTTTTCATAAAAAATGCTGTTTGTTTTGAATCTTATAAGGTAGTGACGTCGAGTACTGGTCGCGTGATTGGTCGGTAGTGCAGTGACGCGGATCTCGCCGTCTCGTTCGCGCTGCCGTTGAAACTTAACGTGCTGTTTCATTCGGGTCGGTAATGCAGTGACGCGGATCTCGCCGTCCCGTTCGCGCTGGAGTGGGATCAGTTTTTGTTTGATGCAAGTGTGAGCGTACCATATCTACCCTTTTTGTTTTAATCTAAGGGTACATGGTAACAATCCCGTTAATAGTTATAATGTTAGTGATAAGAAATCTTACATAAAACAATTTTCAACGGTAAAGATGCACTGATCGCAGAATTATGATCATCACAATACTGAAATTGTAATGAATAATGATCATCATAATTCTGAAGACGCAGCCTGAAAAGGAAGAGAAACGTCATTAATAAAGAAATCAGTGCATCTTTACCGTTGAAACTTGTTTTATTAAATGAGTGGTGTCCGTGAAAACCTAAGAAACAAATAAGAAATATTTAAAAAAGAAAAAACCAAGTTTCTAACAAACCGTATTGAATTAAAAGAAGAACGGCGAATGTAGGCCCAAATGTTTTAGAAGCCGTTCAATGATAGAAACATTAAAATTGTAAATAAGAGGACTTACAGTAATTTTTAAAATATAAACTGGATTTTTAAAACCTCGCACTCTGAAATAATATAATTTTGGTTTCTATATTGAAACATCACATTATCCATAGCAATAATAAAACGCGAAAACAGTGTCGTGGTTCAGTTCCGGCTTATGCAGTAGTTTTCACTTTCAGAATAATATTAATAGCAGCTATTGCTTACTATAATGTAACTAAATTGTTTTAATTATTTGATAAATTAAACAATAGAAGTTAACGTCATCAAAATAAAGAGGAAAATACTTTATATTTAAACATTTCTCTACTAAATAAACAGATATTGGTTTTTTACTTCTGTGAAACGGAAAAATATTTTTAAAATCTAATGTCAATGTCTGTCAATTTCTTGTTGTTTCATTCGTTTCGCTGTTGTTTGTTGATTTACGTAGAATATTTTAATGTGATTTTTCTGTCTATGATGTCGCGTTTTTGTATAGAGAAGAAGAAAATATGATACAAATTCATGAAAAACACATTATAAATACATCATATTATTATATACTTGCGTAAAATATAAACACATATTTGTAAGTAAAACAACTACGTAAAACATAACCTCACTTTTAATATTAATCCTACTATTTATATCTTTTTTGTGCTAGCTTGAATTGATTATGTCTAATTGATTTTTTTGTTAGTCTTATTTAGCAGTACGAAAATCTATAAGTTTCATTCGTAAACGGGCCCTTGAAGTCTGGGTCTCAAACTATATGGAAGTTCGCGATTCTTCTTTTAAATATATATTGAACAAGAAACTCACTCGTATAAAAATTTCTCGTCCACTGGTATTCTTTTGGAGTCTTCGTTGAGATAGGTCGACGAGTTTATGGGGATGCTCTTCAGACCTGTTACAAATAATAAATCAACATTTATTTTTACCTTTACAATTTTGAATTACCCGAGAAACTAAAAAATCGTATAAATAAACATTGTGCGAATAAAACATTGTAAAAAGGCGCAAATTTTTAAATAACATACCTATTATGGAATAATTATCCGTTAAAAGTGCGCAGAAGTACTATTTTAATCAATTTATAACAATTAAAACTGTTAATGTTTTATAATTACAGAAATAGTGAGATAACGCGGTGTCATTTTTCGAATTCAGTAATTTCAGAAAAAGAACGAGGAAATATAAATTAAATCGTTGTCTGAATTAGCCAGTAAAGTTTCTCAGGTAACTTAAAATTTATGATGTTACTAGACGACCAGCCCAAGTGATTTTCGCTTAAGTGACATCTTATTCGTAAAGGCACTATGTAACTTTTGAATAGGAGGATAATTGGAGGAAACGTATTCATACAATAATATACATATATATATATATATATATAATGCCTTTAATATTTTATTTTTTATAATATATAATATTATTTTATGAATACGTTATTTATTATGATTTTTGGGAAAAAAACCTAATCCTCGTTTCTTTAAAGTTACTAAAGTGGCGTTTATTAAGTCTAACTCACCTTTGGCGACATAATTCTTTCTTACTGCGAACTTGGGATGTGAACCTTTGACCTTCTTAACGCCTTCTTCACCATCAAGCTCTCGACGTTTCGGGTTCTTGAATACGAATCGATCCAGAAACCTTATGCCCGCAAAATCTTTTAGCGGATCACCGCTGTACTGAATTATTTGTTCTGGAAAAAAATAGTTATCAGTGTGTAGTGTGACATTAATAAAATAGGAGCTCAATGGCGCAAAAGGTTAGCGCGTAATTCGGCCTGCGATCGTGGAAGTTAAGCAACATTCGCAATGGTCGGTCATTGGATGGGTGACCAATAACTTATTGTCTCGAGCTCCTCCGTACTTCCGAAGGCACGTTGAGTCGTTGGTACCGGCTGCATCTGCATTTGTTAGCATCCACCAATCCGCACTGGGCCCGCGTGGTGGGTCATGGCCTAGTCTCCCTGTTCCATTCATAGACAAGGCCAGCAGTGGAGATATTTATAGGCTGTTTTTGATGATGTATGTGACATACAACTATAAAATTGGACCTTGTCTCCTACATATTAAAGATCATTTTGCGTTGGTAGATGCGAAGAGGCCAAGCTCGGGCATTGAGAAGGCGTGGTTAGATTGTTCATCAAAAGTGATTAATTTATGCATTAATTTGTGAATGATGAACAGTGAAATGCATTGTTTGTATACACACATAACCTTTGATGAAAGCTAATATTCCATTCCGTGTGGAATTCCCGCATGAACATCATCTGTGTCGAGCAGGCGCGGTCCGAAGGGGGGGGGGGGGGTCACAGGGGACATGACCCCCCCCCCCCCAAAATCTAAGGTCAAATTGAAATTGCCAAATAATAAATTTATAGTTTGTTGACATTTAGTGTTGTTTTATGAACTACGTACGATGGCCAAAATACCTTGGAAATGACATCTTGTATTAGTTTAGAAACAAGGAACCGAACTACGTAGTTTTGTTAATCCTACCAAAATCGATATGCGTCGTTATGATAAAGATTGTTTAACAATATTTTATAAGTAATGTATAAACTAAATCGTGTCTTGTGCAATAATGTTTATTTTATTCCAGATACCTATTCTTTATTAGTGTAGTGAGTGACCCCCTCCAAAATTTCAGGCTGCGATCACGCCTGGTGTCGAGTTACCAATTAAAGAATTAATACCGAGACAATGGTGTCGATTCTGGCATGATTCTCTAAACCTAAACTTAAATTTGACAGCAGTATATCCTTGTCATTCTCTATACAGAATGAAAAGGAGAGACTGATGTTAAATTTAGTTTTAAGTTTAGAGAATCATGCCAGAATTGGTACCAATAAATGAGATAAACTGTGAATAAGCTGTCACTGTTTAGACGTTACATTTCGACGAGGTTAGAGAGACGGAGAACGATCGCTTTAGAAAATAGTGTCCCAGAAATATGGACAAAATAAGTGAGGCGCTGCGATCGCTAAGTTGTCTCAATAAAAGCGGACTGCTGTGCGCTAATTTGAAATGACCAATGCAGCGAAGAAATTTTGTACCTTACTAGCTGACCCAACGAACTTCGTACCGCCATAAAAATAGGGGCAGGGTAGTGTTGCCCAAATGCAAGAACAAGACGAGACTTAGCCAGTCTTGGTCTTGGTCTTGCGCTCCCAGTCTTGGTCTTGGTCTTGCAGCAAGAGTCTTGCAAGTCTTGCAATTACCTATTAGACTATTGCTATTTATTAAAGTTTACTTTAGATCTTAGAAAAACGTATTAGAATTGGAATATTGTGAGCTTGAATTAACATAGCCATAGTAAAGACCAATCAGATTAATAAATGTCTGAAGATTTGATAAGAAATTCGAAAAATCAACTGCCACATGGTTATCAACTGAGCTATATGCCGTTTTACGAGTATATTATTTTATTAGTTTTGTAGATTTTTTTTTACACATTTCAAGTATATTTAAGTGGCTACAATATTTATCAAACGGGTGATATTTGACCACTTTTTTGCTATTTTTTCTTGTAAAAACTTAAGAAATATTTTGACTAAATTTACAATAATAGTACCTAAGTAATTAGTTTAAACCCATATACGTGTCGTACCGTCTCGCTCGCTCAGGCAAGAACAAGACTGCAAGACCAAGACTGAATTTGGGCAACCCTAGGAGAGGAGAAAATTTAGGTTTGTATGTAATAGCACATTATAACAAAAAAAAATTTTAGGCGTGTGTAAAGTAGTGTTCTATCAATTTCCTGGGATAACATTCCTCCTAACCCATATGAGAACACTACGTTACAATAACCAATAGTTTGAATTTTGGCGCGAAGGCACATTGTAATATATACCATTATCACCTATGGATATGAAAAATAGATAGTAGCCGATTCTCAGACCAAACGAAATATGCAAAAAAAATAAAAATCGGTCAGGCCGTTTCGGAGGAGTATGGTAACTAACATTGTAACACGAGAATTTTATATATAAGATTGAACTAACTACATCTACTTGTACTCATAAACAGCTAACTAACTTCATAGATACTACTTACCAACGGCAGCGCGGCTGGTGGCTGAAAAATGAACCATAAATTGACGACCTCCGTGGCCGAGTGGTTTGTACGCCGGGTTTCATGGTGTTATCTCGAGAGGTCCCGGGTTCGAATTCCGGTGGGGGGCAGATGTTTGTGTGATGAATACGTGCATTTGTACTCCAGTCATGGATGTTTAATATGTATTTCTATATAAATATACTTATATATGTACAGTATATGTATTCTATCCGTTACCTAGTATCCCATAACACAAGCCTTATAGTGCTTACTTTGGGGCTAGGCTAATTGGTGTGTGTGTTGGAAATATTTATTTATTTATAAATTCTACAAATTTTCAGGGACAGGCGGGCTGATGCTTTAGCACGTACCGATCGTTCTCCTTCTCTCTAACCTCCATGTTGCCAATGAATGATGACGGATGCATGATCGATGCTAGTGAAAACAATCGGGAGTCGGAAGTTTTCATCGCGAAGGCACATTCCGATGAATGTCAATTAAGACATTTTATTTTCGGGTTTTCATCGACGAAGCATGGATAATAATTATTTTACGGCCTGAATGTGTGTATGCTTTACTATTAAAAAAAATTGACACTTAAATTAGAAAGGGATAAAAAATCCCGAAAAGAACAGTTTGACCGGATTCCTGGTTCAGAGGTCTTAGTCTGACACCACCTATTTGTATAATATAATCTTTATATTGTATATAAGCACTCACCATTAATAAGTCTGTCAGCGAACAGTTTGACCGGATTCCTGGTTCAGAGGTCTTAGTCTGACACCACCTATTTGTATAATATAATCTTTATATTGTATATAAGCACTCACCATTAATAAGTTTGTCAGCGAACAGTTTGATTGGATTCCTGGTTCAGAGGTCTTAGTCTGACACCACCTATTTGTATTATATAATCTTTATATTGTATAAGCACTTACGATTGAAAGTGTGTCAGCGAACAGTTTAACCGGATTTCTGGTTCAGAGGTCTTAGTCTGAAATCACCTATTTGTATAATATTGTATATTTATAAGCACTCACCATTGATTAGTTTCTCAGCGAAAAGTTTGACCGTGGGATGGTAATGGTTGGATAAAGGCACTAACTCCACGTAGGCGGAGTGAGTGGCACCAGCGAAACAAGGATTCCTGGTCCAAGGATCGTAGTCTGACACCACCTATTTGTATAATATAATAGCGATAAGTCTAAAGAAAATTTAATTAGAAATAATTCGGTTAAGTATCATACAGGACTATACTCTGTTCAACTTCCTCTAAGACAAAAGTTATACCAATAAGGCAATGTTTCTAGAAATCTTTTTATCGAGAGTAAAGATGGCCGATGTAACCAGAATTATAATAAAATTTTACATTTCAACGTAATTTTTTTGGCTTTATCACTACTCTTCAATTTAATAGTATTACAATGCGTTCACAGTTAGGGAATAGCAATTTTAGCCCTTTTTGGTTATGATTTTATATTCGTATAAATTACAAATTATTAAAACCATCTCTATGATTTGTTTATCTTGTCTCAGAGGAAGTTGAATAGAGTATTTCTATACTCCTGCGCCTTCCGCTATGTGGTATCCTACTAAATATTCATACTTTTTTAATGTCATAAATATGAAAGTTTGTATGTAAATTACTGAATCACAATAATGGCGTGATTACACTTGCTCGTTAGCCCGAATACGAGCGCCAATGGAATTCGGGTAAATGACTTAGGGGCCGTCCATATATTACGTCATTCTAAATTAGGGGGGGGGGGGGGGTTGGTCAGCGGATGACGGTAAATGATAGATAGGGGGGGGGGGGGGTGTTTCGAAATTGACGTCATTCTTATTTATTTATTTATAGTTTATTGTTCACGTACAAAAAGATTACTTCTAAAAAGAAATTTCTTCCAGCACACCTAGTAAGTGAGACTGCAAATGTGAGAGGCGGCTAAGGCGCGTACAATACTAAAATAACTCATAATAAACATACATAGTGCAACATAGATGTACACAAATACAGTAATAACTACAGATAAAATACTCTAACAATAATATTACATATAATACTAGCTTTTCTCAAATCTGCAATGTTTTAATTTTGTCAAACTGGTAATGACGTCAATTTTGGGAGAAGGGGGGGGGGGGTCATTAAGAAATGACGATAGGATGATTGTAGGGGGGGGGGGTCTAAAATCTGAAAAAATCGATGACGTAATTTATGGACGGCCCCTTATGGTTCAATAGGTATTTGACAAGTTTTAGAAAACGATCTCACGATTTATTGACTAATGTTTATGGAGTCCGTAATAAGCAGATATTCATCATTCTGTTGTGTATTTCAGTAAAAATAACCAAATCAAAAACTCCATTTTCAAATTGCCGCGAAAACGTTTCCTGGACAATATGGCGTCTTACAAGTGTGTGACGTCAAACAACTGTTATTAAAACGTCAAATGATACAATGTAATGTTACTTTAACCGGAAGTTTACTTGTGTGTGACGTTATTTTAGGCTCCGCCAATCCCAAGCGTTTTGGGTCACGTGACAATAGATAAGAAAACTATTATCTTTTTCGTGGGTTTTAGTAAAATTATGTTTTTTTTTGTAAAGATAGTAAACACCCCTGCCAATATTCATTCTAAACACAGATGCTAACAATTGGGACTTTATTTTTAATACTGTCAAATATCCTATTACACATGGTCGTTAGCCGGTATTGGGGTGCATGAAAGCCATTTCGTATTCGGGCACCCGAAGCAATATTTACACTGGAATACAGAAAGGAAGACGGTGTCGGGTAACCAAACACTATCTCTTATCTATTAGACGAGTCCGTCTGTCCGTGGTGCTGTTTCAGCGGCCAAACCGTAAGAGATAGATAAAGAGAATATTTAAGTTATAAGTTAAGAATAGTCTGATAAGACTACAAACCGGATTTGAGTAACGTAGCACTTCCGGTTTTCGAAAAATCACGAATTTCAAACGAAACCACACAAAATCTCCGAAGTTCTCAATTAATTAAATACTTTTTTTTTAATCAGATTTTGGTGAACATTTGGTTCACTGGTTTGCTAGTACTACCTATAATGTGAAGAGATGGCGTTGCCTTGCAGCCTAAGAAATACACGAGAAAAATCGGCACAGCCATTAGGACCGCGGTAGCATAATAAATAGATTTAAAAATCTAGCAGTAAAATGCTTAAAATAAAAATATAACTTCACTAACCTTTCCGATATTGAGTGTCCTTTTGAGTTGTATTTTAGAATCTGACGCTTTGTCATTAGGTTCATTTTCGACTGGCGCTTCCTCTCCGGTCTTTACTCTGGCATGATACCATCCCAACGTAGCGGTGGACGGTTTACGTTTCTTAGGCTTAATGTTGCCAGAATCATCGATTTTCAAATCTACGTATGTTTCTTCGTCATCGTCGTCTGTATGGGCGTATAAAGAAAAGGTTTTTTAGTTTGAAAAATGGTGTCCAATCAGCTACGATTAGTCATTATGTAACTATTATTATAAATCAATGCAATATTTCAATTCATGCCCGTAATAGAGTTTGCTAAAGTACGGCCATCGAGAAGAGATACAAAATATAAACAAAGTCGATTAAAGGTCATTACCTAATGGTAAAAACTTGTCAACTCCTGCAATATTTTTATATTATTACCATTAGGTAAAAGGTTAGGTGGAAAATTTTTTGAAATTAACACTTTATTTACGAAAATAAAATTAACATACGCCTTTTATCATTATATTCGGCATATTTAGCAAGGTGTGGCAACAGCGTTATATTGAGGCAGGGTCCTGATTGACCATTCTTTTTACTATTTAAGTCCATAGATATTTTTTTGACATTATTCTTACTGTCTGTATATTTTTTTGTAATTTTTGGTGTCATCATCATCGTCAGCCCATTAATGTCCCCACTGCTGGGGCACTGGCCTTCCCTATGGATGGAATAGGGAGGTTGGGCCATGACCCACTACGCATTTTTGTTGTTTTTGGTCAATAAAATATTTCTCTCATATTTTAATTAAAATGTAGTAAACTGTTTTTTATTATAATAAATATTTTAAAAAAGTAATATTTTAAAATAAAAATAAAATATTTTACTATGAATTTTGACGAATTCGGCGCCCCGGCGATCACGTGAACGGCAGAACGAGACCTAATAGCAGGCCATTAACTACCGTTCATTCCTGTCGGAATTTATATATAATACATACGGATTGAATGGTAGTTAATAACTTGGTCGCTCTAGCAAATCGACTACTGCACAATCGTTCGGATTATAGATTCCGACAGGAATGAATGTTAGTGGATGGACCGCTAATGTCACATATGTATATATATATATATAAAAATTTAAGAGATAGCTATTAGACTGTCAGTTCCAGAGTCTCGTCTAAGTTGAATGATCTTTTGTGTCTTATATTGAATGATTAACATCTGTAAGAACACTGTTTGTATTTATACTGTACGACACAGGAATCAAATTGTGAGTGGACGTTGAATTATTTTGTAAATGTTTCTACTTATGTTAAATGCTGATGAGTTTCTTGCGCCCATTCTTTTCATCAGCTAAAAGATATCCTGAATGGGTAGTAGGAAAAATATTGGACGATTCAAAAGAGCTTTCAATAAAGAAAATATAATTAGAAAAAAATCCACGCGGACAGGCAGCAGACGGGACTCGAACCCGCACCCTTCGGTATCCGGGCGAATGCACTGACCAATTATGCTACCGCGGCCCTGATGGCCGCGTCGAAATTCCTATAGCTATTCTTAAGCTGTAAGGCATCGCCATCTCTTCGCATTGCAGGTAACTAACCCACAATGTCAAATGAATTCTTTTACAAGTATATATATACATAGGTATATTTGCAGTGCATTCGCCCGGATAGCGAAGGGTGCGGGTTCGAGTCCCGCCTGCTGCCTGGTCCGCGTGGAATTTTTAGTTATATTTTCTTTAGATATAAACATCAAGCAGTTACATGCTTAAAAAATAAAAATTAGAGCTTTCAATCTGAATAAAGCATAATTTCATTTCATTTGTCGATGCCAAAATGTTGTGACGAGAAATAAATGATTATTATTATTATTATTTCATATCGCTTCTCGTTGGCTTTAGTTTTTAATTCATATATTAAGTTTTTGGTAATTTAACAGTAAGCTAGATGTCAAACTTATTACGTTAATGCGTAACTTAATCATTGAACTCATTGTAAATTGTGAATACCTATTTATTACGTTAACATTGGACAATTTAAATAATTTACAGTTTTGTTTTTCAGATTCAAATATCTAAGTGGAAAAAAAATATGATTTCTTTGTCGTCTTATAAATCGATGAACACCGGCTGCACGCACGAAAAAGTGTCACGTTCCGCCTGAGCCTAAGCGTGCAAACGAGAGCGCGGAACAAGCGGAGAGGCACGATCGGCCCAAGCGTCGGCATATACACATTAATCTCTCTTCTCGCATTACGTTATCACGTGAAACTACCGTCCGTAAACCGACTTTAGACCTTTTTTTTGCAGGCGAATTGACAAAAGAAGGCAATTTTTTTTACCTATTAAAAGGTCCTTCTTGTCCCCTTTCAGAAGGTTCATTTTACTGTTCTCAATCTTCGCCTCTTCATCCTCTTTAACTTCTGCGACCGACCCATCAGTTTTATTCAATACAGACTCTTCTGCGTCATCATCTGTTAGTGTAAACACTTCTGATGCTTGTGTTTCTTCTTTGACTTCCTGTAAATTATAGAGGGACTTCGAACTTAGGGGAACCATCCAATTATTAGCACTTTTGAGTTTAGTTCGAAAAAACAAGAAAATAATCGGAATACTGCTGCAAATTTTCAAAATTCTAACCATACTAGTTTCCGTCATTTTTGGAATTAAACGCAAAAGTGCTAATGAATTGGTGGTTTTCCCTACAAGGAAAGTCATCGAGCTTAAAGAGAGAGAGAGAGAGAGTAAACCATTTTATTGATCAATAAAAACAACAGCTGAAATAATAACATTGTATATAGAAAGTAGGCATCACAAACATTGATAAACCTAACAGTTATAATATTGGTCAATCAGGACCCTGCCTCAGCATAATGCTGCCGTGACATGTAACTTAACGTGTCACGACAGCGCTGGTATTCTGACAGGACTTGTACGGTGCACGGTGTTTTGGTATACAAATTTAATGAAGAACACGAAAAAATGAGTGAGCCTTACGTAGTCGCGAATGATGTGTAACATTGGAAACCTCACCTTATATTTGTAAAAAAAGAAATAAAACTAACTACAAAAGGAATAAGCCATTTGAACATTATGTTCTAAAATCAAATAGCGCGCGCTTCCCAAACTTCCTGTTACACACTTCCGTCTCATTTCACGTAATCACTCCCACAAATTGCACGAAAGCGAGAGAAAAGATGTTACACATCAATAGATTTATAATTTGATAATTACATACATATTGCTTTAGTGTAAAAATGAACAGGAAATAAAAAAAAAATGTATGTGACCCAGTATCATAGGATAATTTTAAACCCACAAAAACCTTAGGTTCCTGTAGGATAACCAAAAAAATAAGTGATAACTAAAAAAATAAGCCTACTGGTCCTACTATTAGTAGGACCAGTAGGCCTAGTTATTTTTGTGAATGTGAAAGTTTGTATGTATGTTACTCAATCACGCAAAAAACTACCGAATGGATTTAATGGGTACGCATATAGTTAATGACCTGGATTGAGACATACGATAGGACTTTTATCCCGAAAAAATGTTTAATTCTCGCGGGATTCTAAAAAACTAACTATACTATAGGACAGGAGCAAGTTTTCAATAATTTCAGTTTCATGTTAAACTTACCTCTTTGATCTCTCTCTTGGTCCACAGTAATCTCACAGCCTCCTTCTTATCACCATCTTTCAACACCTGCGATATAACAAACAGCATGCCGCAAGATTGCGCCGGCGACATATAACAACATAACTGTAGTAATCTCTTTATGAACGCAGCCACTCTAGGTATGTTTTTGTCCTGCTTCAACGACTTGTATATGAGAGAGAAGAGTAATGCAGAGTGTGAGGTGTTGAATATGTCCGGGTTGGTCAGTTTGCGGTACAACGATGTGTAGTAACTGTGAACATAGAAGCTTTCGTAATGACCGCCAAATGAAGTTAAAAAAATTTAATGTTATTTAAAATCACGTGCTGTCTTATTCTATTATAATTGGAAAGAAAGAGACAGCACCAACTTTAGTAACATTGTAACCCTAATCCGGTTTTATTAAAATTTTATTTTAAGCATCAAACTACTTACTGCTTTATTTGTAAATATGAAGAAAATTTTACTAGAAACAAAATCAAATGACACTAGAGTGTCAGGCTGGATGCGTGCTTAAACAGAACAGCCTAAAGGGGAGCCTAGCAAAGTAGCTCCCGTTTGTTAGCATTAAAAATGATTTCAGGTGTTAAACGTATGGGATTATCATTATTGAACCTCACATAATGTGGTCAAAGCGTAATGAACTGTCTAGTGTCATTTTATTTTCTATCACAAGCGCTTAATGAATACACTTCGAAGCGTTTGCTACTTAGCTAGGCTAAATAAACGACATTATATTAAAATATCCTCAGTTTTTTTTCTAAGTTTTATTCAAAATATAATGAATGAACCATAATAAGGCAATTATTAAACGACATTCTTATTACCAAAAAAAGTTAAGATATGCATTCAAAACGAGTTTAAGATAAAAATGCTACACAAACCTTTCTAACTTCAAGTGGGTTACGACTTACCGATCCGAAGTTCCTTTGGAAGGGTCACTTATATGAAACAGGAGCGCCAACGCATGTATGGCAACATTGATAGTGGCCAAATGCACCAGTTTATGTATGGCGTCGACATGGTCGTTTGATGACGTCACCCGGTCCCTGTCTGCGAACGGAAACGCTCGCTTCACGCCCGTCAATATGGCCGACATGAGACGAGAGTCCACCTCACCCTATATTGAACCGTATTTGTATGAGATTAGAGGTCACAATCGCTAGACAATGTGTTTGGAAACAAGAACTAATAATCGTCCAAACAGGAGGTTTAATAAAGTTGATTGATGAGGCAAATTGAGCCATATCTAATTTAGGTAGGAAGGCATTGTCATTCTAGATTGATTTTTAGTCTAAAAATAATAGTCGCTTAACATTAGCCTGCAACCTGAGCATTAAACTGCTAGATTCTAAAATCTAAAGAAAAGTTTACTAGAAAAAATTCCAAGGGGTTTAAATTAAAATACAACTATAATTGCTATTTCCTCTTTCAAATGTTTAGTACTTGTAAAGGTATTCATTTGATATTGTGGGTTACCTACAATGCAAAGAGATGGCGCTGCCTTGCAGCTTAAGACATACTAGGGAAAATTCGACACGGCCAATCATGAATATTTATCATACTAACGGACTCACCTTTTTTACGGAAGCTTTGAAGAACGAGAAATATATTCTAATGAGATCCTCAGCAATTTTGGAGTCGTCTTTGCCCAAGAAAAACTGGTTCAGAAAGCAAACGCCGTAGTACTGTGCTCGTGGCGATATATTCGTTCTGAATACATATAAGTACAAGATTACATTATTTAATACATAAAATTCTCGTGTCAAGGTGTGCGTAATTGAACTACTCCGAAACAGCTTGACCGATTTTCGTGAAATTTTATATGCATATTCAGTAGGTCTGAGAATAGAACATCTATTTTTATTAGTGATGTGCCGGATATCCGTATCCGTATTCGTATCCGCGGATATCCGAGGCAGAAGAAAGCTCCGTATCCGTGTCCGTATCCGTTACTTTTTGGGGGATCTTTTACGGATCTATTTACCTTATTAATTATTAAATTTATAAATAAAATTCTTTAAGACGAAGGGTAAGGCGCACTAGCGACGCCAATTGCCGAGATTCTGACGGTCCACAATTATTTGAAATAGATCTGGTTTAGTAGCTAACAATTTAAAGCAATTGGCGTCGCTAGTGCGCCTTACCCTTTGCCTTAAATAGGTGATTAGGTAACAATAAAAACTATTAAATTCAATACAGATATTCTTTTATTTCTTAAAATCAAATATTTGGCTTCTTTATGTTGCAAACTTTGCCGTAGTGAGTTATCATTATCATACCAATAGTATATAACTACAAGGTACTAAATCAACTAACTTTTTAATGAGATCAATATTATAAAAAGTTATAAGATCACTTTTTATTAAGAAAACCAAACTTAGATCTTCGTAATAATTTATATTCTAATTAAATAATTATTTAATCAAGTAAACTAGTACTGCGTGACACATACAGTGTTAATGTTAGATAAAAACCACAATGACCATTAGAGGAACTTAAAAAAAATATAAGTCATAATTGAAATTTAGTAATGAGAGAGAGAGAGAGAGAGAGAATCATTTTTATTGACCACATTATAAATTTACAAAACAACATACAAAAAAAAAAAAGAAAATATACATAATGGAGAAAATAAAAAATAAAAAATAAAGTACCATTTGTGGTCAATCAGGACCCTGCCTCAGCGTAATGCTGCCGCAACACGCTATAAAACGTGTCACAGCAGCGCTGGTATTCTGGCAGGGCCTGTTATGCCAGAACCTCACATGGCCAATCGCATCCGCCTCGATAGCAGTTCCTTCCTCTCACTGCCCGTTATGGATACATATCTATCAAATAGCAAACACGATTAGCCACATGACGTGCCAGCACAAGGTGCGAAAGAATACACTTTCTGAATTCTGCGCTCCGTAATCTGTGGCTGTCACTTGTTAATGTTACTATTACTGTCGTCACACATACCGCACAAAAACAGTGAAATTGAGTGTACAAACTCAGTAATTGCTCAGCAACTTGAATGGAAAAGGGAAGCAGCTATATAATCCCGTCAGAAACGTGCACCCAAATCACACGATTACCATGAAGAACCCCCGCGGCCGCCTATCACCCGAATAAGTTTGCCTCCAGGTACCGAATCTAATCCCCATAACTTACTGTCGAGACTGAAAATTGGGTGAGTATCTTTAAATTAATGCGTACATTGCAAATTCAGCAAATGACGTTTTAAGGTAGTCTTCAATGATTGTTTGGATTTCAGATCTCGCATCGGAGGAGGAAGATCATTCCAGCACCTGGAGGCAGCGAACCTGAAAGACCCACGAAAAGCAGCAGTGTGGTGTGTGGGGGTGGAGAAGACTCGAGTGCACCGCCTCTTTTGGTGTTTACTGTCGAGTTGTGCCCATACCAATTTAGCTGACAGATATTGTGGCTTGCCTGTGTGTATGATGCCAAACATCAAGGTAGTGCACTCGCCTACGGCTCTCCATCTTCAGCATGTTAGCTGAATTCAAAAATGAGGTGACATGTGTTCGTGGCGGTATGCCAAAACAGAAGCGTGCGCACGCATTTTGAACACGCTGAATAAGCCGTGCTGTTCTAGCCAGTAAACATGGACCATAGACTGTGTCACAGTAATTGAATTTGGACAGAACCAATGCCTCACATAGTGTTATTCTGAGTTTTTCAGATAGATATTGCCTTATCCTGTACAGCAACTTCAGTCTATAGAAGCAGTTACGTGCGCACTCTACAATATAATTTTCAAAGTTTAACTGGCCATCCAGAGTCAGAGAGATTGAGTCAGTAGTAATGGTAAATTATACTTCAAAAAGAGTAACTTAGCAGCTTTGTCCCCCAAAAGTCTGTTACGATGAGGATCATAAACAATTCCTGCTGCACTAAAAAATTGCTCACTTGGAATACTTGTGCTATATACGCTTCCAGCGTTATCTATGCTGCCCAGTGTCACATTAAAATAAAACAAAACAAAAAAAAACCCGCCGCGCAGTGCAAGTCGAAACATGTCTCAACTCAAGATCGCGCGCACCGACACCCAATGTATAAGAAAGTTAAGATCCGTATCCGTATCTGCGGATCTTGACACTAAATATCTGTATTCAGATCCGTATCCGCGGATCTACATTTTTGACGATCCGGCACATCACTAATTTTTATCCCCCTAAATGTTAGCGCGTTCGGCTGCGATCGTTGAAGTTAACAACTTTCGCAGTGGTCGGACATTGGATGGGTGACCAAAATTCTTCTATCTCGAGTTTCTCCGTGCTTTGGAAGGCCCATGGAATGGAATAGGGAGATTGGGCCATGACCCACCACGCGGGCCCAGTGCGGATTGGCGGGTGCTGACGACTGCAGATGCAACCGGGACCAACGGCTTAACGTGCCTTCCGAAGCACGGAGGAACTCGAGATAGAAGATTTTTGGTCACCCATCCAAAGACCGACCACTGCGAAAGTTGCTTAACTTCAACGATCGCAGCCGAACGCGGTAGTCACTTGCGCCATCGAACTCCTCCTCCTCAAAATGTTTTCCTATGCTATACTGTAATAAGAAAAAGAGCCGCTTCCTTTATGGATCGCATTAGAAAATGTAGTAATTTAATCATTAATGCTGTGTATGACTGCTGTAAATATGACATTTGTGGTATTTGAAATCCTTGCCTGCTGGAAATCAATTTTATTTTATTTGACTTAATTTTTTATTTGCTTTGATTTTATTTTATTGATAATTGACTTAAGATTTAATTTAAACGGCTGGTAATTATTTGTAATTTATATATTTTTATTGTGATTATTTAATTTGATTATTATGTTATTTGGGTACTACGCCTGAAATAAATGTTTATTATTATAAAATTACCTGAAAAGCATCTTCTCAATATCCTTAAGTACAACAGCCTTCATATTGGGATGGTTGTACAACAACTGGCATAGATGGTACACCACTTTAGACGCTACGGAGGCACTGGGGTCGCCCAGTTTATTGATTATGTTGTTTAAAAGCATCTGGAAACGGTGAAAATCTATCACAAATCGTACAAGTAATTCTAGGAATACAGTAGCCATTTCATTGACACAAATTAACTGAGCTCTAATCGCATCTATGGTTTGGGCTGTGCGTTGATATGTCAGTCAGTCACTCAGTCAGTTTCTTCGTTTATATATTTAGATAGGACACACTTGAATAAAAAATAAGGAGAAGGGAAACAATGTTATGATAAAAATATTAATATGTCAGCAAATGAGGCTATAAATAAAAAAAGTTAGTGTGCATGGACGACACATCTAAAGTGAAACTTCTTTTCTTAAATAATCTAACATTAGGCGGTGCATAAGACATAGGTTACCTTTTCCCTCTCCGGATGATGCATAAGTAGATAAGACATAGCACTGACAGCCTTCTCCTTGTTAGCTTCTACCGAATCATGTGCAAATTTGTTTAAGGCTTCCACATATGCTAGAAAAGAAAACAAGAATAAATAAGAAACTATGGTAGGACTTCACATGGCTATTTGTTTGCTAATTTCGATTTATTTAATACTAGTTTCCTACAATACAAACTTTCACTGTTAATGATTGATTTCTGGGATAAAATCTATGTCCCTTCCCGGGATCATCAATTTCTGGGATAAAAACCATTTTATGTCCTTTCCTGGGATCAAAATGGGATCAGATTATATAAATTGTTCAGCAGTTTAAACTTGAAGAGGTAACAGACAGTAAGACAGTCATACTCTTTCACAATTATGATATAAGTATTGAAGTATGGATAAGTAAATAAGGTATTTGACAAGGTTTAGAAAATGATCTTATGTTATTTACTAATGTTTATGGAGTCTATAAAAAGTGGATATTCATCATTCCGTTGTGTATTTCAGTAAAAAATACGAGCGAGCCTTACAGTAGTTGCGTATGATGTGTAACATTTGAAACCCTACCTTATATTAGTTAAAAAAGAAATAAAACCTACTACAAAAGGAATAAGCCATTTGAAGATTATGTTCTAAAATCAAAACAAATAGTGCGCGCTTTCGCGACTTCCTGTTACACACTTCCGTCCCATTACACAAAATCACTCCCACAAATTGCACGAAAGCGAGAGGAAATACGTTACACATCAAAAAATTTCAAAGATTTCAAGTGGCCGCGAAAACGTTGCTCTGGACACTATGGTGTCTCACTACTTTCATTAAAACGTCAAACGATACAACGCAATATCACTATGACCGCAAGTTTACTACCGTGCGACGTCATTTTAATCTTCGCCAATCACAGGCGTTTTCGGTCACATGTGACCATAGAACAAATAATTTTTATTAATTGTTTTTTTTACAAAAGTTATTAATTATTTGTTCTCTCGGAATAGTAAAATCGCCGCTAATATTCATATTAAGTATAGATGCCCCCAATTGGTACTATATTTTTCATACTGTCAAATAGCTTCTTCTACATATCCAGCTTTATAGTGCTTACTTTGGGGCTAATAGGTGTGAATGAGCGTAAGAAATATTAATTTATTTGAAAATAAATCTTACTTCCATATAGCTCTTTCAACTGGTCCTCATAATACCAAATCTTCAATATGTTCCTTCTAGCGTGCTTATTGCCTGAGGTCATTTCATCTAAATGGCAGAGTGGATGTTGCTCAAATGTCCTTAACTTCACATCTGGCATGAGTAGCTCTGATATTAATAGTTCGGAGAGTGCATCTGCAAATAAATTTATTTGGTAAATCAAATAACAACAAATAATTTGATACCAATTAAGGGTTATACTGTTAAGCAACTACCAATTTAACCTACAACAATTTTACTGCAAGTGACAGAAGTTTATCTCTTAGATTACTTTTTATGGCAAATTGATTTGCATAAAATATAATATACATGTCGATTGCAACTTGAGTTTAATGCATAAAATATTGTTTCAGTTCTAGTTTGGTAAAATTTGGAAGTGAAGGTATTGTAATTGATTGATTTTTATATAAGCGTTAAACTAGTACAATTTTAGAACCAAACTTTTTTTGTAAGCCAAAATCTCCTCAACAGCCCTTTCACATTTTTTGCAAAAAAAAGTAATTTTTGAGCGCACATTTACCCCTTAGATAAGATTTTGACAATTTCCAATAGAAGTAACCAGTAGATTTATTCTTCCTATTATAAGTTAATGTAGAATATTTGCAAATACTATTTTCCTTTATTTTTACTGATTGTTCTACCGCAGTTAGTTTACGGAAAAAGCGATAATATGCACAACTTCAAACACCTCAATCTCTCGATAATGTTCAATAAATTAGATCAAATTAATTACTACAACATCACAAATATGTTTTTGTTGTAACATAATTTATTAGAATTTTGATTTACCATCTCATTAATTGACGACCTCCGTGGCCGAGTGGTTTGTACGCCGGGTTTCATGGCTGTCGCCGAAACGAGAGGTCCCGGGTTCGAATCCCGGTGGGGGCAGATGTTTGTGTGATGAATACGAGCATTAGTACTCTAGTCATGGATGTTTAATATGTATTTATATAAATATACTTATATATGTACAGTATATGTATTCTATCCGTTACCCTAGCATCCCATAACACAAGCCTTATAGTGCTTACTTTGGGGCTAGGCTAATTGCTGTGTGTCGTAAAAAAAAAAAAATAATAATTATCAAAAAAAACATCTAACCTCCGTGAGTTTTCCCAAAAATAATGCAACCTCATATTTTCATATTGAATTAAATAGAATTAGTATCAAAAACTTTCATTAAACTAATCTATCATCATTGAACTACTGAAATATGTATATATGTTTATAATAGTTCATTAATAATTATTTATAAGACTCGAAACATCACCCGTAAAATGCAATATATACTAGTGCAAATCTACCTACGCGCCGATCAGTACGGCAGTGGCGCAATTTTGTAAAAGGGCTGTTAAGTTATAAGGTTAAAGAATGTGGAAGAATTCATGCAAAAAAGGATTTACCAATAACAATAATTCCATCTTTCTTCTTAGCTGGTTTGACACTGTTTACTAAATTCCTTAGAGCAGTGAGATTGTACAGTGGATTGTCCTGAAACAAGTATTAGAATGAATAAAACTGTTATAATATTGTAAGATAATAATAAATTAATCTTACAAAACAGAAATCTACACTAAGTAGAGCTTCTACTGAGGAAATCATACAACATATAAAATTATGTAAAAAAAAATAGTTTTAATAAATAAAAATCTTGGGAACTTAAATGCCTCCATAGGGATTCAAACTCAGGACCAGAAGGCAGGTACACTGTTGTAAGTTGTTAAAACTATAATATAATTTTTGCTTTACCTGTATTAAAATAGTAGCTGCAGCAACTCTATCAGCTATAGCACCTTTATTTAACAAGGTCCGAGCCCACTGCTGATCGGATGAGCCATTTTTGTTTGACTCTGAAATTATTTTTATTTAATTTATTTGCAAAAGTTGGAATGCAATGATTGGTTTATGTTATATATATATATATATATACTATGTCTACTGCCTGGTCCATGGAAATTTTTCTAGTAAAATTTGTGTTTGTTAGTGATGGACTTTGTAAACTTGGCAACAGTGTCCATATCATGCTCTAAGGAATAAAAATGACAGACTGATGTGTAGTTTACAAATAAGAAACACTTACAGCCAAGTGAAGTGCCGGTATGAAAATGCAAATTTATATTATATAGAGCATGCGTAAAAAAACTACTGGAGTGAATTACGTTTTGGCTGCCGGTAAATATTGGCTACTATAAAATTAGTTATAAAATTGCAACAAGTGAACCGAATTTGATGATTTAAAAAGTACATTAATTAAAAAGCTTATTAGATCATTATACTGTTGATTTTGGGTTAATTTGCTGATGTAGTAATGATCCACATTAATAATTTGGTCACTCACTTGTTTCGTAAGCTAGTGTGTCTCCATGCAGAGCACTGTTAGCTTCTTTCCTCAAATTTTCAATTTGATCTTCAGTTAAGCTCTTACTTGTTGTACCAAGTTCTTCAGGTAGCTGGTGGAAAACAGTGTTTTAGTATTATGTTTTGTTCCTTACAACATTAGTAAAAAATATATTTTTGGTTAAAAGTATTTTATGAATAAGACAATTGTAGATTATTTTATTACATTTGTGACAAGAAACACAAAAAAAACGTTTTTCAATTCTAATGTGTATGTAATAATAAAATACCTGATGAAACCACTTCTTTTTTTCTTCATATTCAAGTGTTTCGGCGAAATGTTTTGCAATACCCTGGCCCTTCTTTTGATCGGCATTTTTGTCAGGTTTACCATAACTTGTATACGCCTCGTCGATCAATATATTTTCTTCAAATCTTTTATGTTTCATTTTATTAACAAAAATCTTTACTCAGCACGTGTGAGCAACAAACATTGAACTGACATCTGTTGTCAATGTCAATTGAATGAATGAAATATGTATCAATCAGTGTCAAGAAGAGGAAAACGAAACGCATTTAGGCCTAGCACACAACAGAACGGTTGTTCCGATTTGAGATTTTAAATAGCTATGGATTTGTAGTTCGTTGAATTGCTGCACCAAAAAAGTTAATGCAGAATCAAGAAAGAATTTGGGATACCTAAATTATGCATCCTCCTTTTACTTTTTAGCAGTCGTATAGAAAATAATTAAAGACAAAATAAACAAACCATGGTCAAAATATTGTGATTCAACCATAGACACAAATGCAAGACGCTAATATTTTCAATGTGGCTACACAAAACCTAGGTGTGTCAAGATTATACCTCAAACTATTTTAGGCTTTATACCATTGAGATAGATCAGTAATTTATGTAAATTTACCCCACACGAGCGATTTGTCATAGCACTTTGAAATAAAAAAAAAAATCTTGCGGGATTTGGGCAAGATTTCTGTTGATTATTTATTTTAAATTAACTTAATATTAGCAAATCTACAGTTAAATATCTAAAATGGATGATCAAGGAAGGAAAGTCATCGTTTGCGACAATGGTACAGGGGTAAGTGCAGTTATAATCGTCTTGGTATCTTATTTGGTTACGATGAGCCAACTGATTCACTATTTCCTCATAAAACTTGGTGTTTTTCAGTTTGTGAAATGTGGTTACGCTGGCAGCAATTTTCCCGCATTCATATTTCCTTCTATGGTGGGCAGGCCCATTATCAGAGCAGAGAATAAAATAGGAGATATTGATGTTAAGGTACGTACTTTGCCAAAGAACATTAGGTTGATCGGAACATTTTTTAAAGACAAATAACGTTTTGACAGTGCCCACAGTTATCATTTTATTTAAATAGCTCTGTTGTCATACTGATTTCCATTAATCATCATCATTCAAATCATTGTTGCCCACTTTTAAATTTAAAACTACTCTTACATAGAGAACATCAATATGCAAAATGTTTTTGTGTGTACAGTCATTATAAAGGTAATGTGTTACTTCTATTTATGATATTACTTATAATGTTGCAGGATATATGTATTGGAGTAAGTTTATAGAACATTTTTAAGCATGTAGGGAATGCATTGTCGTTTTTATTTCCTACAAGAATTCAATAACAATGCAACTTTTGTTTGAATTTGTGAATACTACTACTTTAACTAACCTAGTTAAGTGAGGTAGGGTTCAGAAGATTTTCAACTTTGCCTGTCAGGCTATATAGAAGATGGAAACTTAGATTGCAGATAAATAGGATATACTGTACTTCCAGGGCCCAAAAGTAAAAACTTCACAGTTTTGTTGGTTGTGATTTCGCATTTTTGTTGGTTGTGATTTCGCATTTTTGTTGTTAAAAAGGTTTCTGTTAACCACATTATTAAAAAAAATGTCACACTTATGCACTGGTAGTTTTTTAGAAAAAAATATTGAAACTTTTCTTATCAAGTGGTGATACTTCACACTGGTTAGGTTAGGTTAGTGTTGTGACCATAACGCGCGAGCCGAGCGAGCAAAGCGAGCGTGCCGCGGCAGCGGCCGGCGAAGCGCCAGAAAAAAAAAACTGTTAAAAAGACCTTTTCTACAAAAAAAAACAAGTATCACCTTTTGGGCCCTGGAAGTACAGTTTTACCGATAAATAATATGATTCTGTTGTGTTAGGCTGTTTGTCCACTGCTGCCTTTGCAGGGATGTCAACAAGAGCGAGATGACCATGCCGAAGCAACATATAGATTTTGTGTAGCTGCTTGTCTACCATAAGTCTGTCATGTCATCTTGATCTCATACAGAAATAATGTCATTCTCAGAAACAGTTTGGCAGCAGCAGTGGTTGAGAAACAGCTTTATGATTCTTCTGTGTGTAGGCTGCATATTAAAATAGGGTCTAGGTTACTGAGGAGATAGCTGGAGTGCCACCTCCACCATACTTTCATCAGAAGAAAGGCTGACATTCTTCGAAGAAACAAATCAATATATTTCCTTATATTTATGATAAACATTCTTTGCAAATTAGTAGTTTTCTATATTTATACATCATTACAACATTGCCTTTTCACATGCAATCCAGACGTTTCATCCCGAGATTGTTCAGGTAACACTGGTATTGGCAAGTCTTTAAACAAGTAGAATGTATTACATTTTGCCTGAGCAAGCACACTATTTGTACTATACGACTAGTGCGAACATGCTGAAACTGATAGTGGTGATAGAATTAGACAACAATAGTAACACTATTATAATGCCTTAAAAATTCTATATATCAGTTTTGATTTTCACCTATAGATTTTGTGCACTAGATTAAAGCCTAAATTATAGCGAATTACTTATTTGCTTACTATTGCATAGGTGCATTAAGAATAGTATAAGTATAGAAATTTCTAATACTTTAATTTATATGATGAATTATTGAGAATGAAACTTTAAATTAATGTCAGTCTATACATGTCCCCATTGCTGGGGCACTGGCCATCTCCGCTGTCAGGTGTATTGTTATCGTTTCAGGATAATAAGTAACAAATTATAAAGCAGCATATTTATTATTATATGACCTAATTTTGTTTTGTTTTTTTATTGTTTTGTTGCTGTATTTGCTTCATTTTCTTTACCTTTGAAAGTAGTTATTTTGAAGAAAATTGAACTAGAAAATGTTTTCTAGTAAAAGTTTCTCTAGACAAAGCAATATAGCAGTTTAATGCTTAAAATGAAAACATAAAAATATTCATATCATATTGATAAATATACTGTAAGAAGCATGTTGATTATGTAGTGAGTGACTGCATATAGAGTGCTCTTTTGTGACTACTGTATTTCATTTGCAGCAAAGTAACAATAGGATTTTTTATTCAAAATGTTATTTGTGATTGAACAGCATTTTCAAATTATGTTACCTATTAAATGTATATAATTTTTATTTAGGGTCAATTCACACGTACCACAACCACACCACAGCCACAACCACACCACAACGACGCCATGTGGTCTGGCGTATATTTTGTATTGAAAATTAATATTACAATTTACACGTACCACATTTTGCCGTTGTTATCGACCACCTGTGTAATACGACCACATCGCAACCACATCGCGACGGCAACGCCACCACCGGCGGCGGCACCGCCGCCACATCGCCACGACATGACGTCATCTTTCCTCCATGATTACGTTCAGTCAAGCCGTGTTTCCTCTACGAAAGCCGGAGTATAACTGCACATGACCACGTGGTTACCACATCGCAACGACAGCGTCAACTCAACCACATCGACATTTTGTCGGTACCAGAACGCAACTGCAAAAAGCCGCTGCGACACTATTCACACGTAACCACAGCTTGACCACATTTTGTCGCTGCGACGTGGTGTGGTTGTGGTACGTGTGAATTGACCCTTAGACATGGATTTATATACACAGCTTTTGTAAATATGCTGAAAACCAAACTATAACCCACTTATATATAAGCTCACATTCAATATATTGCAGCTTTATCAATAAATGATTGGCCTTATAGATTATGAAGCTGTTCCTAACACGGTTTTAGTTTTCAGAAACCTTTTCAAGATGATTTCATAGAGATTTCTTTCATTTTTCAACATGCATTTTTCTCTTTAACAGCTTGTACAGTTTGTTTTATTTGCTAACACGAGAGGTGAGGTTCTAATTTAAAATTGTGTTTAAATAAATTATCTATTTCACAGGACTTGATGGTAGGAGATGAGGCATCTCAACTCAGGTCAATGCTCGAAGTCAGCTATCCTATGGAGAATGGAGTAAGTATTTCGTATGTAATTAAAAACGCGATTTCGGAACGGTTGCAGACGCGACTGCGCTTTTTTCTTTTTTTTTGTGTGTATGCTGTTGGTCACAGATGACCTTTACAGCGTCACCGGGTTTGGGGACGGCGAGATCCTAACGGGACTTCAAGCCGAGAATTGGCGAGTGACTCTAGAGGTATTCCTCTAGACCACTCGAATCTGAGGGAGTCTGCTCAATTATAGTTAGCCTTTGTCGTGGGGGGAGGGGAAAAACGCCCAGGTCTTTTTTTTTTTTTTTCATTTATTGGGAATATTTAACAACTACACATTTACAATATGTAAAATAGTATTACTGTTAATTTTAATAACAAACATGCAGTCAAATACACTATCCACAGCTTACACAATAAGTATTTGCAATTTATAGTGAGATGCTAAGCAACAACAGATTAACTAGGCACCTATAATAATCACTTAAATATAATTGGGTCCTATTCTATGGCACTCAACTGTATAAGTGAACGGTGGTGCAAAATCTGACTTTAACAAATAGTCATAACGAAACACACTAAAACACAACTAATTAAAACTCAAAATTAAAACCCAAGAAAAAAACCAAATAATAGTTATATTATGTCTTTTTTTGATCCAAAGTCCTAAGGGCTGAGTGTATAGCACGCGGTCTTCGCACTCTTATCCTACGGGTACGGTGACTGCCTAATGCTAAGCTAGTGTGCAAGTTTGGTAGCTGTGTAGTGTTGGTGTTTGTGGCCTGTGTGGAAGGAGTCGGAGGCGCGTTGGCGCGGGTGATTTCGTCGTCGGGGTACTCTAAGACGTGCCTAGGCTGACGGAATCGAAGGGATACGATAACGCGTTTTTAAAAATGCTTTTATGGTCATAACTCATTGGTGGACGTCGCGTTGTCAACAGGCTAACTTCGGGTGGGCTACGGATGGACGCCTCGTTGCAAGGCGTGACGTTGATCAGGTGACGATACGGAGTTGATGTAGTAAGCGTATTCCTTACAGAAATCCATACAAAGAATATCACACGGGTAGAGCTGTGACCGTTACTTGCCTTTTTAATTGTGTGCCCAGTGCCGTGCCCTCATATCTTTATATATATAATTCTTCTGTGAGTGTGTATGTCACTGAACTTCTCTTAAACGACTGGACCGATTTTGATGAAATTTTTTGTGTGTGTTCAAGGGGATCTGAGAATGGTTTAGATTCACAATTTTGTCCGCTGGACAACCCCTATTTTTTTTAGGGCGGTACGAAGTTCGCTGGGTCAGCTAGTATTATATAGTGCGACAATAGTTATTTATGCAACTGTTGTATAATGAGGAGCATTAAAACAAGAAAATGTGCGCGCGCACTGCTTTTACTTGCTTATATCCCCCGCTCAACTCCCGTTCACCTCGCCCGAACACACTTTTCGTATCGCGTAACGCATTCGCCAGCTTACCCCCCACGCCAAGCGTGCGTAAAGAAGTTTCTCTTCAACATAATATATTCATTTTTACCGCTTATCTTGTCATCAGGTAGTTCGCAACTGGGACGACATGTGTCACGTATGGGACTACACGTTTGGGCCCAGCAAGATGAACATAGATCCACACGAAACCAAGATTCTGCTCACAGAACCACCAATGAACCCAACGAAGAACAGGGAGAAGATGATTGAGGTAATTGCTTTTAACAGCCATACGCTGAAACGTTAACGTAAGAATAATTTGTTCGGTTCCTAAAGCCTCGATGACATGGGGCGAGTTACAAGCAACAAGCCAGCGAGTTCGCTGGTATCTTGTAAACTCGCCCCGTATCATCGAAAACAGGGCTCACACCATGGCGCGTGCGATGTCACCTTTGGTTAGATCATTGCGTAACCTCAATGCACTCCGGGACGCCAACACTGAATTTGACTTTTCTTTTGACAGTTGGTCTACTATCAAGTCAGCATTATTATGTTTTTGTGAAAGTCTGACGGATCAATGGAGCAATACTGGTTGCACTGACAATGAGGATAGTGCTTGACATTATTTTTTGTTAAAACATATAATATTTATTTGAAATGCTTACCCTATTTATAGTAAATTATATTAATACTAGCAAACCAGTGAACCAAATGTTCACCAAAAAAAAAATGTATTTAATTAATTGAGAACTTCGGAGATTTTGTGTGGTTTCGTTTGAAATAGAAATCACGTGATTTCTCGAAAACCGGAAGTGCTACGTTACTCAAATCCGGTTTGTAGTCCTATCAGACTATTCTTAACTTATAACTTAAACATTCTCTATATCTATCTCTTACGGTTTGGCCGCTGAAACAGCACCACGGACGGTCGGACGGACTTGTCTAATAGATAAGAGATTGACGTTTTATGATATATTATTACAATCATTTAAAATATGTCAAACAGAAAAATGTAAATGTGTGATAAATGTTATTGCTTTTTGTCGTTTTTATCACAATAAATAAATCATCGAGTAGCAGATGGTGAAAAAGCCGATGACACAGGGGGAGTTTATAAGCTGCTAGCGAACTCGCTGGCTTGTAGCTTGTTAACTCACCCCGTGTCATCTAGGCTTAAGCAACGGTTCTTATTGTAATCTAAATAATAAAAATTTCTGTGCAACAAATAAGCTGTTCGCTTACTGGACTTCGATAATAATTTATTTTAAAGTAAATTTTTTACTGCATATAAAACATATTAATTTTAGGAACAGGTATATAGCTTGTACTTTTGTTGGCACTCTTGCATTTACACTAAAATAAATAAAAATTAGTTTAAACACTGAACACAATATTTTTTTATCATCCTTTGATGGCAGTTCTTAAATCTTCAGTAAAAATCTAAATTTCACAAATAGCTAAAAAAATTTTTTTTATTGTTGCCATGCTCATGCCGAGATAAGGCGTCTTTATTGAAGTCGTTAAGGGATATGCTTGTTTGTTCATAATTTATCGACATAATAAGTAACAATTAGACAACAAGTAAACAATTACATAAATGAAATTTGTATCTTATCAGGGTTTCACCTAAAATCCAACAAAATATCAAAGTTTTGGTGTAATCCACAGAACACAGAAAGAGATTAGAAGGGCCTTGTGGGCGGGGCAGGCGCGCTACAGTTATGTGTGAGCAAATGCTCATAACTTGACCAAAACTTGGTTGTTGATTGCGTCGTTGCTCTCGCTTCATTTGATTGGCTATTATCTATTAAAGGGAGTGTAGTGGTTGCGAGTCGGCTACATCGGTTCCCGTACAAACGCTCTATGAGTACCTTTCTAACCTCTTTCTGTGTTTTGTGGTATAATCATTCAGGTTACACTGGCACGGCTGGCTATCTTTACTCTCGATAAAAAAAAATAGAAGCATTACTTTAGGTACCACTTGTTTCACAGGAAGTAGTAAATAAAAGTAAGTAAATAGTATAGTGCTTGAATTGTCAAATGCTTATTCGCAGGTGATGTTTGAAAAGTACGGTTTTGACAGCGCGTACATTGCCATACAAGCGGTGCTCACGTTGTACGCGCAGGGTCTTATATCGGGAGTGGTCGTTGATTCAGGTAAGTAAATGTGATAAATCGATAGATAATTTCTCAACACATTATTTTGTATACATTGTTCGAAAATTCCAAATTACAAGCCATACAGCGGAGCGTGCGGTAAAAGTACATTATGATATAAGTGCGGTAACTTGAGAATTACAGCCGAGGCGATATTGTTAGCCCGAGCCGTAGGTGAGGGATATAAGAAGGCAGAGGCTGTAATTATCAAACCGCACGTATGTCATACGACGTTTTATAACACATTTGCGAGGAAATAATACTACATACCTACGTACTTTCTGAAAATGAATTTGCACCTTTGTTTGTTTTCCATAAGATGAAATTTTGATAAGCTTGACTGTAAGTATCTATCCGTGGATTTTTCGGGCAAGAGGCTTAACGTAGCCTTTTTTGACTTCTGGCGGTGTCAAATTAATAATTTCGTTACTACTTGACAATATTTTCAAATTAAAACAATACAGCGAAAAGAAAAAAAAGACTTTTTCACAGATTAGCGATGCGCGCGCATCAACGCTTTTTTTAGGCAAAGGAACAAAAAACAGCCAGTGTTACTAATAAAGTAAATTAATATTTATGTTACAGATACATGGTTGTAATTTTTGTCAAAATGAATCAAATTAAAGAATTAAATGCTTTTATATTATATTCTATCTCCCAAAGTTAATTTTATTAAGAAAATGTTGACTACCTTTCTGACATAAAAACTCTTTGCTAAGATTTATAAAAGTATGATTGTTTTTAGACGGAACATAGGTGGTTTTCCAATTACAGAGCATAATGCGACTCAGTGGCGCACAATGCCGAATTATGCTGATGCTTAATTGGAACGTGAATTAGTTTCAAATGCACCAGCAGAGTGCGCTAAGTTCTGTGTTGAAAAAAAAGTCAATGTTTGTACCTTCATCCATATTTATACTTATTTTTTATAACACAGTTTGAATTAACTTTGATTATTTAAAAAAAACTATAATGAAACGAAAGTTTTATTAATTTTTCAACAATAAATAATATTACTTACGATAACATATAAATAAAACATTTCGATCAATGCCAACTTAAAGAAAAAACAATTGTTAATTTTCTGTCTTTGAGTTGGTACGATTGCACGCATCACACGAAAGCATTACTTTTGAGAGTGCTCGATTGTGCGAAGCGTTGCTGTAGTTGAAACACTCAACGTTAAGCATTATGCTGCATAATGCGCTATAATGCTGTAATTGGAAAGCTACCATAATAAGCCGTGCGTTTTACTTTACCGCACGCGTGTGTAATGTGATAGATTATAATATTGAAATTGGTGCAATAAGAGACGCTTTACGAGCAAATGTGTTATAAAATTCATTACGCACGCTTCCATACATGGCACCGTGCGTATTATTTACGGTTTTTCTTAAATTTCGATCGAACCTCCTCGAAAGCGCTTTTAGTCTATATCAATGTCTGACTTTCATACTAAATATAAAAAGGGACGAAAGATGTATTTTTAATTTTCACCCCCGCAAGTGGCGCTATTTGAAAATGCGCCCCATTTTCTTATTACTTAATTACTTAAATTATGTATAATGTTTTCTCGCAAATGTGTGAAAACATTGTTTGACATTTGTACGGATTGATATTACAAACTCGTGACTATGTTAAGCCCTCGGCAATAACTGTTATTATTAACGAAGCATAATTTCACTTCATTTCAGTATTATCGTAAAGCTGCGTATTCATTAGGCAACATTTGTGTATTAACACTGTTTATAAACAGTATTTGACAATGTTGCATCACCTCCAAATACAAACTAGAAACAGTTTGAGGAGGACAGGAGATGAAAAACAGTAAAAATAGTCTTACGTAATAAACGAATGGCCCCTAAACTTGTTTATAAACATGTTGATGAACTTTATAAACAGTTTATCAACAAATGTTGCCTAATGAATACGCTGCATAATAATTTCTGGTTACCTAGGTGATGGTGTGACTCACATATGCCCGGTTTATGAAGAATTCGCTTTGCCTCATTTGACTCGACGGCTCGATATTGCTGGCAGAGACATCACTAGGTACCTCATTAAGGTATGTTTGATTTATTTTTACAGCAAACTCTAGTAATGAAAGGCAATTTAGATCTTTGCATGTTTGTTGGCATAACACCAACTTCAAGCTTAAGTTTGAGTAAAATTCTAGATAAAAAATACCATTCGTTAAAATTTTATACATTACTAGCTGTGCCCTGCGGTGTTACCCGCGGTTTATTAGGAATATTTTCCCGCAAGGTGTCAGCTAACTTCATACCAAATTTTATTAAAATCGCTCGAGCCGTTTAGATGTTGACGTAACAAACATACACACTCACAAACGTTCGCCTGTATAATATTAGTGTGATACACTATGTAGGTATTTGACGAGACATTAACTATAGTTAAATTTAACTATGCGAATGGTGGAACAATGCGGCCTTAGAGTCGGTGCCATGCCAATAATCATAAATTGATAACACTGCTTTTATTTACTCAAGTTCTTAAATAAAATTTAAAAGCTGTTCATGATAAAGAAAGTCTTATTTTATCTGTACTTGATATAAAACAAATTATAGTCCAGATGGACAGTGGATTGTTTTATATATTTTTATATGAATTGTGAATATATCTTATATTACATTTGTAATTTGTGTAAATTAAGGCTTAATGATGTATTAACCTGTTTAAAAGCCTTAAATCCGTAAATTTACTAAAGAATTAAGTAAAGGATACGTTTGTTTTTTTCATTTTTGTTTGCTTTGTTTTTACAAAGTTTTTTATATTCGAACTTGTTGTTCCTGTTCAAGAAATCAAATAAACTCTCCAGCTTCTTAAGTCGTGTCATTAAAAAAAGGAATCGAGAATTCCGAGGCAAGACATTCTGTCTCTCTCCCACGTTACTATGGATAGCATGTGCGAGAAGGACAGAATGTTCCACGTCGTCATTCTCGATTCTTTTCTTTAAAAAAGCGAGTTATATAGATATACAAGAAGATATTTTGACGACCTCCGTGACCGAGGGGTTTGTACGCCAGGTTTCATGGTGTCGCCTACTCGAGAGGTCCCGGGTTCGAATCCCGGTGGGGGTAGATGTCTGTGTGATGAATACGAGCATTTGTACTCCAGTCAAATGTTTAATATGCATTTCTATATAAATATACTTATATAAATGTACATTGTATGTATTCTATCTGTTACCATAGTATCCCATAACACAAGCCATACAGTGCTTACTTTGAGGCTAGGCTAATTGGTGTGAGTGTCGGAAATATTTATTTATTAATTTAAATATTTATTATCTTTTCCCACAGTTGCTTTTACTACGGGGATATGCTTTCAACCATTCCGCTGACTTCGAAACGGTGCGAATGATGAAGGAAAAGCTCTGCTACATCGGATACAACATTGAACAGGAACAGAAACTGGCGTGGGAGACGACGGTGCTCGTTGAACCTTATGTTGTAAGTAATAAGGGCTAGTTTACCAAATCAAATGCCTGACATAGACCCAACGAATCAGAAATGATATGGAAGCATACTAATGCTTACTAAAGCATCGAGGAGCTCGATGGCACAAGTGGTTAGCGCGTTCGGCTGCGATCGTTGATCTCAAGCAACTTTAGCAGTGGTCGGTCATTGGATGGGTGACCAAAAATTACTCGAGCTCCTCTGTGCTTCGGAAGGCACGTTAAGCCGTTGGTCCCGGCTGCATCTGCAGTCGTTACCACCCACCAATCCGCACTGGGCCCGCGTGGTGGGTCATGACCCAATCTCCCTATTCCATCCATAGGGAAGGCTTGTTCCCCAGCAGTGGGGACATTAATAGGCTGATGATGATGATGGAAGCATCACTATCTAACAAAGGCTGCTAAAACATGGTTCCAAACTCGTACAACTGCACTTCAATACTAACGCGACAAAACACGCCCACAGACAAAAAAAAAATACTTTGACAAATCAAATTCAGCTATCCGTTCATTGGGTAAGATAATGTTAAATGGAAATCCCAACCAATCCCATGATCGGCGTGTTGATCTCAGTTTTTCCGGCCCGCCCACTTGATCGCAGTATGTGTGGAACCACTTTTTAGCGCAATTCATATTCAGTATTATTATAAATTCGTTGCCTAGACATGTATTAAATATATATAGACATTTAATAAATAAATTAATCAATTGATAAAAGCAAAACTACAACAATCATCTTTGATCATCAGCTTTAAATTGATCTCGATGTCATAAATATCAGGGTTGTAGCGGATGCGAAAATTTTGATATCCACAGATGCGGATTTCAAAATATTGAAAAGATATTAAAATATTTTAATTATAAGGTAAAAATCAATAAAATTTTAATGTTTATTTAATGATATTAATTTAATAGATATGTAGTTACAATAAATTTTATAGTTTACTTACATTAGGTACCGTATTACTGTTATGCAAAATGACTAATACCCATTAATGAACAAATTACAAGAAACACTATGTCCTTGCATTACTATCATTTCGATAATCAACAACTCTATAATAGCCCTTATTTATAAAATTATTCTTGATCTGAGATTTAAATTTGGTCAGTGGATCTTGAGAGTGATTAATCAGATCTTGGGAAACTTTTTTAAACAATGCAATACATACTATATATATAACCCAGAAATGAACCTTTTAGATCTTTTAGAAATGAATTCTTAGATCTAAAAAAATCAAGAAGGTGGACGTTTGGATTAATGCGAATATTCCGCATTCGCAGATGCGCATGCGAATATCAGTAACATATATTTTATTTTATTATTTTTATAACTGCTAGTTGATTATATCTAAAGAAAATTTTACTAGAGAAAACTCCACGCGGACCAGGTAGCGGATAGGACTGGAACTCGCGCCCCCCGCTATCCGAGCGGTTTCGCTGACCAATTATGATACCACGATCTTAATGGCCTTGTCAAATTTCGTCTAGTATTTCTTACCCCTCGTTTACACAAAGAAACAAGACGTTTACAATAAACTTTTAGAATACTTGTTGTGACTGTTTGAAACATTATTTCGTTTACACTGCATAGACAATTTCTAGTATCTTTACAAGTATAAAAAACGTAAAAATGAAAAAAACGTAGTCAAATTTAAAAAACTACTGAAATCATTTTTATCAAAGACCAGCTTTTATTCGATGCAAGAGTTTTTCAATTTTAAATAGTACCTAGTTAATTTAAGCAAGACCTTATTTATTTTTTATGTTTTTTTTAATGTTCCTACGTAATGTTATTTTATTTGAAATTATTATTATTGTTATTATTGAATGCTATTTGTCAGTGTTATTAATTATTAGTTAATTATGTTCAAGTTAATTTTAATTAAATTTAATTGAAGTAGATTATTAATATTATTTAATTAAGGACATTTTAAATTAAATTGCTATACCCTTTCAGGGTTCATGTGTCTGTATCTAATCTTTATGTAACATCTGTAATAACCACATGAGTGCAATAAATAAATAATAAATAATAAATCCCTTATTTGCTTACACATTTTGTTTATCCAACAAAGTTTGGTACAAGTATTGTATTCTATAAGTTTTATAGCTGTACATAAGTGTTAACATATTTTCTGGTCTACTTTCCCGATAATCCTAATAATAATTAGTTCTTATGTATGTAGTTGTCAAACATTTAGTTAAGAAATATATATGTATAGCGAATATATAAATAAATATATTTATATACACATTAATCAGAAATCAATATATCTTTATTGAAATTGGATGTATAGTACAACACTTTTGAATCGTCTTAACATTTTTTTCCCCTACCACTCGTTATTGGACATATATTTTTTAGCTGCGGAGAAAAACGAGCGAAAAAAACCCCACAACATTAAAAGCATAATACTTAGGTACTTTGAAGAAATTAGATGTCAAAACTAGCTTCCTTTCCAAGATGTTTCTTACACCAAAATCAAACGGAGAATGGGGAGCAGTTTTTGTTCACAACATTATAAGCATAATGTAACAACATTTACAAATCATTATGTTGTTACAACGTCAAGACAATCATGATTTATTTAATATAGAAAACCTGTTGGAATGATTGGACTTTACTTTACTTTATTGTATAAGCGAACACAAAGACCTTTAAATGAATTATTGATTTTGTGAAGCCTAGTAGCAGGTAAAGTTAGTTTATTTTTGTTTCTTGTATTAAGTATGTGAACATCACTGTTTTGAAGAAATAAATTAATATTTTTTTCTTACAAGTAAATAATTTTCGTAAATGTATTGTGATGTGACCGTCATTTTACCAAATTCTTTAAACCTATCTCTTATGGAATCCTTAACTTTAAGATTATAGCTCTCTTCTGCAGCACAAAAATAGTTTGAATGTCGGCGACGTTTCCCCACAATAAAATTCCGTATGACATTACACTATGGAAATAACTAAAGTACACTAATCTGGCCGTATCTACATCCGTTAACTGGCGTATCTTCATTACGGCATATGCTGCAGAGCTAAGTCTATTTGACAATTTATCAATATGTGGGCCCCATTGAAGCTTAGAATCTAAAGTAATCCCTAAGAATACTGTGGTGTCTACAAGGCCCATATTCCTATCCTTTACATTCACACTGGTTTTTACCTGTTTTACATTAGGTAATACAAATTTCATACATTTCGTTTTTCCTTCATTTAGTCGTCTTGCTGAACATGTTGCGTACATATATGCCTACGTATATATACATATATATATATATGTATGTTTTTCATCAGTTACCAGACGGCAGGGTCATTAAAGTGGGCGGGGAGAGATTCGAAGCGCCCGAGGCATTATTCCAGCCTCATCTCATCAACGTGGAAGGCCAAGGGATAGCTGAACTGGTCTTTAATACCATACAGGTAATTATTTAAAAAAATAAACTTTGAAGCTACGTATACTTACAATATATGCAATATTGCATGCAAATACAATGTTGCCGGTGCAACCAGACTGATAACAAAATTTCACGTTGAAACGTAAATTATTTACTTTATCACTATCCTTCGACTTAATATAATAATAATGATGGTATATTTATCTTAAAAGTTACAATTGCTCTTATATACTAATGAGAGGAATGACATCTTAAATATATTTCACATATAAGAGGTTCGTTGACGGCTGTACTAGTATTAACTGTGTCACAACCATCAGCTACTCCTTCCATGATATAAATTTGTCATGGGGATGCACAAAAATTAACCTTATTGAAACCATCTAAAGTACCTAACTAACCAAAAATAAGAAAACGTTTAATTTGAAATACATAGATCTATATTTGTGTTTGTGTGTTTTTTTTTGTTTTATACCGACTTTGCCTCTGAGCGCGCGCGTGCGCGTTTGTGTGTGTGTGTGTTTGTGTGTGTACGGTGTATGTTAGCGAGTGTACTGTAAAACTTAGTAGTTTTATAATGCGTTAAGTTTGGGAATAGCTACAGTTTTAGGTCTTTTTAATGATTTTTTTTTAATTATGTCTTTATATGCATATACAATTCGACAATAAGCATGGTAGTACGTGTAGTATAATACATACTTATTTTATTATAATTATACAATTGACACGTATTTCTCATTAGGCGGCCGACATTGACATGAGAAATGAACTCTACAAACACATAGTTCTATCCGGCGGTTCCACAATGTATCCAGGATTGCCATCGAGGCTCGAACGGGAGATAACCCAGCTGTATCTGGAGAGAGTTCTGCGCAACGACTGCGATAAACTGGCGGTAAGTATACTACGTTTGTAATTTTCAAAAAATAAATTATTTATAGCAGTAAAGGATACAGTGGAGAGATCGACATATTCATTATATATTAGGAGTGACAGATGTAAAAATTGACAATATGTAAAATAAGTTAAAAAAAAAACGGTCAACTCAACTCATTGTACCAGAGAGATTTACATAATTACTAAACTACCTTTATGACTGCGACAAACTATATATATTTATATAAAATGTTTTGTGTGCATGTATATTTAATTATTATGAAAAACATAGCAAGTACTTTTTGTTATGGTATTTATATTAACTATTTACTATAATTACTAAAGCCGCATTCGTCGCCTAAAATATGACTGGTAGAGAATGCGTTTAGCGGTTAAGTCTGCCTTTTGTTCATTTTTGCAATTGTGGCAATAAAGTTTAAATAAGTAAAATAAATAAATAAACTAGCAACAACTTCATTTGAAACTACACTACCTTTATAACTGCGACAAACTAGCAGTAGGTAGTTTTAAAAATGTAACTACACTACATTTTTAAAACTACCCTCATTAATAATAATTCACTTAGTAGGACATTCATATCAATGTGATAGTTAAGGCAGTTAGAGCAGTGGCATTAGAAATATTTAATTATTTCTAGTAGACTTTTCTTTAAATTTAAACATCTAGCACTTAAATGCTTAAAAAATAAAAACACAACTACAATTGCTATTTTTTCTTTAAAATGTTTAATTAAAGGTATTTTATTTGACATTGTGGGTTACCTACAATGCGAAGAGTTGGCGCTACCTTGCAGCTTAAGGCTAGAGAAAAATTCGATACGGCCGTCAGGGCCGCGGTAGCATAATGGTCAGTGCATTCGCCCGGATAGCGAAGGGTGCGGGTTTGAGTCCCGTCTGCTGCCTGGTCCGCGTGGATTTTTTTCTAGTAATATTTTCTTTAGTTTTAAACATTTATTTGTTTACACTGGCCATACAGAAATTCAAGATCCGCATAGAGGACCCTCCTCGCCGCAAAGACATGGTTTTCATAGGGGGCGCTGTGTTAGCGGAAGTATGCAAGAACAGAGACAACTTCTGGCTGTCCCGCAATGAATATCAGGAGCAAGTGAGTTGTCTGTGTATTTAAATTTTAGGAAAAGAAATTATGTGTGACACTTCGGTTAACATATTTATTAGTCTTACTAATAATTACACTAATATTATAAAGGCGAAAGTTTGTGAATGTGTGTGTTTGTTACTTCTTCACGTCTAAACGGCTGGAGCGATTTTAATAAAATTTGGTATGGAGTTAGCTGACACCCTGGATTAACACATAGGCTACGTTTTACTGCGGGAAAATATCCCTTATAAGCCGCGGGTAACACCGCGGGGCACGGCTAGTTTTTCGTAACTTTGACCTCGTTCAATTTGAAGTTTGTTATCAAACAGTTAGCATAATTTTTTATGTATTAGTATCTTTGTCATCAGCATATGAATGTCCTAACTGCTGGGGCACAGACCTTCTCTATGGATGGAATAGGGAGATTGGGTCATGATTCACCACGCGGGCCCAGTGCGGATTGGTGGGTGGTAACGACTGCAGATGCAGCCGGGACCAACGGCTTAACGTGCCTTCCGAAGCACAGGGGAGCGAGAGATAGGAAATGTTTTGGTCACCTATTCAATGACTCCATTGAGAAAGTTGCTTAACTTCAACGATCGCAGCCGAACGCGCTAACCACTTGCGCCATCGAGCTCCTCTGTACAGGTTGTTAACGTTGTTAATATTTTATTCACAGTTTCTTATATTTTCTTCTAAAATTAAAATACATAGTTAAAATGAAACTCTTTTATTTAAATTGAAGACGTAATACAACTCTTTTCAATCGACTCCCTTTTTCTCCCAACCACCGGTAAAGGACACTTTTTGTCAGTGGAAGAAAACGTGGGAAAAAATCTTTACAACGTTAAATTATGTGAAAATATTTACAACATACTATAATTCAATATACAGGTGTTACAAAAATACTAATAAAGCTTGAAGGGCGTTGAAGTAAATCATATAAGGAGTCTTCTAGAATTTTCTTAAAATATTTGATTGCGCGTAGTGTCAACGAAATAAGGCCTATAATCTCCCGCATATAGTATAACATAAGTATAATATAAGTCGTAAAATTTTACAAGCTTTCATTTCTTACTGTCATAAGTCTTTGACACATGCGTTTTGATTAAGACCTTATACAGTATAAATTAAAGGTGACTTTTAAATGCAATTAGCCAATTAGCCTAGCCCCAAAGTAAGCACTATAAGGCTTGTGTTATGAGATGCTAGGGTAACGGATAGAATACATATATTGTACATATATAAGTATATTTATATAGAAATAGATATTAAACATCCGTGACTGGAGTACAAATGCTCGTATTCATCACACAAACATCTGCCCCCACCGGGATTCGAACGCAGAACCTCTCGAGTCGGCGACACCATGAAACCCGGCGTACAAACCATTCGGCCATGGAGGTCGTCAAATTATCTTACGGAGATCCAATGTCAAAACGTCCAATGTACCTTTTAGACACGTTTCAGCCACGATTTTGATCGTGTTGTTGTATCTAGAGTATTTAATATCGTTGAAACTGACGCACTTTATTATACTGTTCATTTATATATGATATTAATTCTATTTGTTTTGCACTTTCAGGGCCTTGCCTGTTTGAGGAAACTAGGACCTCGCGCTAGTTAATGTAAAATTGGAAAAAACGCCCGTCTGATTGATTTATTTTTACTTATTTAGTAAAACCTTCATTCAAGTCTTTAACATAGCAGAAAATTATGACATAGGTAACAGAATAGATTTAACTGACAAAGTGAAATATTTATTTCAAATTATTATGAGTTTTCATAGTTTTTATATCTTTTTTTGTGCTAAAAACACGTGAATATTTCACTAAATAAGTAAAACATAAAAAAGACAAGAGTATATGCAATTCCCTTTATTTCCAAGTTATTAACAACTTATTAATGAAATTAAGATAAGTTGTAAATGGTAGACAATGTATTGATAGTTCTTAGAGTAAAGGTTTACAATTACCGTCAATGAGTTATTATTTTTAGTAATATATTGAACAAGTCAAATAAGGATAATGCCATGACGCCATTTTGAATTGGAAACTAAAAGAAAATGACGTCTTAATATACTTAGCGCACAAGTCAACTCTTTTTGAATTGATTTTCACGCGCCTAATGTACTTATTGAAAATTTAATAAGACCAACATTATTGAATTGTCAACATTGTTAATAGATTATTTGACAGTATGACAAATAAAGTACCAATTATTTATTGGCATGTTATTTAACATGAATATTGGGAGCGTTTTCAAAATTCTGTCAAAAATACAATTGATAATACAGATTACTAAAAATCATGAAATAGAAAAGTATTTTTTGATCTATTGTCACGTGAACGAAAACGCCTACGATTGGCGGAGTCTAAAATGACGTCACCTGCTTGTAAACATGCCGCGAAGTGACAGCAGTTGGACTGGTTGACGTTTTAATGAGAGGAGTATGATATCACCTGCCTGTAAGCATCCATATTTGCTGGAGAATCGTTTCCGCGGCATAATCATTGTAAACACAATTTTTATTTTCGTTTTTTTTACTGCATACGAAACAGAATTATAAATTGTCAAATAGCTTATTACAATGGGTTAAAAGGTTCAGATTTAGCAGTAATTAAAATGTACATGGGTACGTGCTTTATAAACAGTTCGTCAGTGTTTTTTAAATAAGTATGTAAGTTCTGCGGAGTCACTGTTTGGACATTTATTTTCATTTTCGATATACATTCACTGCGATCAATATAGTACTACAATACCTCTAGAATGATACAGTCCAAGAAAACTTATTTCGTCATTTTAAAATGAAACGACCAGGAGGTTTAAAATAACGAGATAGCATGTTCCATATACAATGAATAATATGTAAAAATTCAAAACATTAAAACGATAAGATATTTCATGAAAGATCAAATATGAAGTAATGAAATGTCAATCAATTTGACTGATTTTTATGAGAATGCGTAAAAATAGCCACTACGCTGAAATTTCATAATTGTCAAATTGAATACTTAATTCTTAAATGAAACATATTTTTTGATATTTCAGTTTCATTCAATGTCACCATTTTAATTGTATTGCCTTCATTTTTAAAATGGCCAAACGCAGAATAGAATTAGTATTATTTAAATATGATGAGTTAAAATTAAAACAAGGTAAATTATTATTTTTATTTTATGAAAATTATGTTCATTATACTAACATAATTTTCTAATATAATTATTGCTTTATAAATAACGGAACATGACAGTTGTCATTGAATTAATTTCACCTATATTCAGTTTTTCATAAGTGTATATTCAGTAACTAAGACTGTAAATAAGAAATTGCATTTATTCTTCAATGTATGTAATTGAACTTTTATATCATAGTTATAATTATTGATACCGAATGATGATTATGTAATTATTATTGTATTATTTTCACTATGGTATAAGTTGAAATTTATTTTTTAAATAAGACTTTCTTAAAATTAAAGTTATGTATTGAAAACAAACATGCGATTTTTATTATTATCATCTCATCTGTAAACTACCTGAATAATACTGAAAATGCTTTTTAACTCTTATTTGAAAATTATCTGTTCCAACAAAACATAATATTGGAAAATAGCTTTCATCATACGAGCACAATTAATGCGTTTAATGATGGATGACACTAAATACCTGCCTAATGGCTGGTGTCGTCAATTGTTGACATTTCCCACTAGATGGCACTACTCAAATGCGTTACTTATCTGGCAGTTACGAGTCATACTTCATCTTCTGGGGTTTCGGCGGTCTTCTGAGGATGAAACTGATTAACCGAGATACAAAGGAAGACTTTTTAATATGAAACACATTTATTGCTTAATTTATTCATTATTGTCTTTGATAAAAATATCATCTTTATTTCCATTGTGTGCTTCAAGATATTTTTTTTTATTTTATTTATTAATTGTAACATAAGCATGCTACAATCAATAAATAAAATTTAAATTTATTTTGAAGCCAAAATAAATTTAATATATATATATATATATAAATATGTAATCCACTTAATGGATTATTGATATGTAGCATCCGCTGCAGCAGAAGTTGCAGATATAGATGTTGATCTTAATTTTACTTATGTAGGTACTATATTGTTTTATGTATAAATTGATTAATCTATAAGTAGCATATTAGATTAATTAATTTGTTAGACATATTGTTAAAGTTCATTCTGAATGACTGTTTAAATGTTTATTAATTTTATTTCTAACTTAAAAAAATTTATTACAAGTAGTATACAATAATTGTAGTTCTGTAGGTAGCCCGTTAATAACTTTTGGCAATATTTATTGTCACACCCTTGGTCAATATAAGTTATTATAAAACTGATTTACCAAGATAAAGAGAAGGACCTTCTTATAATAAAACAGAGTTGTTTGGTTAATTTATGCTTTATTGAAATTGTTAAAAAATATCATCTTTAACGTCTACTGCAATGATTGCCAATGAAATTACAAACCTGCAACAGAAAAGATTCAATATTAATAAAAATAAGGGGCTTGATTTATCCACCGCATTTAAAACGTATTTAGTTCCGCTATCACCCAAATGATGGCGCTATGTTAATTCTGTATCGCGGTGTAGTTTTATTCCTTATGCGATTATGTGTAGATTTTTTTATATTAATTAAACGTTTTATTCATGGGTCTCATAGTCCAGTCAAATTACGGAAAAAAAGGGCTAAAAAAACATGAGCGAGCACAGTTTGGGGATTTTGAGGATCGATAGGGGGGTGCATCCTGAGCTTAAGTTCCAATTTGAGGGGCTGTACTGAGGTCAGCTCAAGGTCATTTCGATGCAAACGCGTTTAATTCGATATCTCGAGAAATATCAGTGTTAGCCAAAAAATTATAGAGACCTTTTTTCTTCTAAATGAAATTTATTAACTTTTTTATTTAAAACTTTTTTTTGTAACATCAATATTTTTTAAGTTATTACTCCCGCAAGGCAACAATTCATTTTGAATTTGTATCGCAAGGCAGGTGACACGAAGTGTACCAATCTCAACGAGCTCCGATATAAGGGATATAAAAAAATGGCAGGCAGTGGGAGGGTTAAATTAGAATCTCTTCCTCCTACCTCTGATGCGGCATTTTTCCATTCGCTGAGGTGTTTCTACCAGATACAATACTGGCTGGAAAATTATCTGGAGCCCGAGGAGTGGGGCTGGCGTCGAACCCCCCGTGGTTTGGAGCCAATAATGATGTCATTGCAACCAGCTCCGGATAATTTACTGAGATCGATTGCATGCAAATGCAAAACCAACTGCGGCTAAGCGTGCGGATGCAGAAAGGCCGGCCTCTTTTGCTCAGTGATTTGCAATAATTGCCAAGAAAATTATTGTTCCAATATCGCCAATATTATCGACGATGATGATCTTGACGTTATGGACGAGGACGACGTATGCCCCGATACCGTCAGGGCCTTCGATATTCACGAATCACTTCCATCGACCTCGGGTGCTTAATTTTCCGAATTTTATAACCTATTTTTTGTATCAATAAATGTGTGAAACAGTTTTAATTGTTAATTTACTTGTTACCCAAAAAAAACCCATAAATTTACCCAAATTAAATACCCAATTTTTAAATAGTTTAATCGATTTACCCTTTTATATTGCGACAGTGGCGTGGATTTCGCTCGGTAAAATAATATATAACTCCGAAGGTATTGAAGTTACAGAAAAAAGTTTAAGAACAAAATTGTGCATAATTAAAAGATATACACGTTGATGATCGGTAAAATTCAATAAAATTGAATGTTTGGGGAGAAAACGACGAAAAATAGGGGAAAAAATGAAATTTTTGCCTTGCGGGAGTAATATCTTAAAAAATATTGATGTTACAAAAAAAAGTTTTAAATAAAAAAGTAAATAAATTTCATTTAGAAGAAAAAAGGTCTCTATAATTTTTTGGCTAACACTGATATTTCTCGAGATATCGAATTAAACGCGTTTGCATCGAAATGACCTTGAGCTGACCTCAGTACAGCCCCTCAAATTGGAACTTAAGCTCAGGATGCACCCCCCTAACGATCCTCAAAATCCCCAAACTGTGTTCGCTCATGTTTATTTGATTCCGTAATTTGACTGGACTATCATAGACAGAGGCGGTCTGCGGCTACGGCTAGCCGCAGGCCTCGGCTCTGGCCGCCGCGACCAGGGTTGCCAACCGTACGAGAGTTCTCGTACAAATACGAGATTTCTGGTCTTTCGTACGAGGTACGAGAACACCACTCATATGTACGAGATTTTGACAGATAAAGGTCAGTGGATCTTGAGAGTGATTAATCAGATCTTGGGAAACTTTTTTAAACAATGCAATACTATATATATAACCCAGAAATGAACCTCTTGATTTTTTAGATCTAAAAAAAATCAAGAAATTGTTTGAATTAATGCGAATATTCCGCATTCGCAGATGCGCATGCGAATATCAGTAACATATATTGTATTTTATTATTTTTATTACTGCTAGTTGATTATATCTAAAGAAAATTTTACTAGAGAAAACTCCACGCGGACTAGGTAGCGGATAGGACTGGAAATCGCGCCCCCCGCTATCCGAGCGGTTTCGCTGACCAATTATGATACCACGACCTTAATGGCCTTGTCAAATTTCGTCTAGTATTTCTTACCCCTCGTTTACACAAAGAAACAAGACATTTACACAAAGCTTGTAGAATACTTGTTGTGACTGTTTGAAACATT